ATGGTGATGCAACAAGAGAGTGAGAGATGGTGATGCAACAAGAGATAGTGAGAGATGGTGGTGCAACAAGATAGTGAGAGATGGTGGTGCATTAAGATAGTGAGAGATAGTGATGCAACAAGAGATAGTGAGAGATGGTGATGCAACAAGATAGTGAGAGATGGTGATGCAACAAGAGATAGTGAGAGATGGTGATGCAACAAGAGATAGTGATGCAACAAGATAGTGAAAGGTGGTGATGCAACAAGATAGTGAGATATGGTGATGCAACAAGAGATAGTGAGAGATGGTGATGCAACAAGAGATAGTGAGAGATGGTGGTGCAACAAGATAGTGAGAGATGGTGGTGCAACAAGATAGTGAGAGATAGTGATGCAACAAGACAGTGAGATGGTGATGCAACAAGATAGTGAGAGATGGTGATGCAACAAGATAGTGAGAGATAGTGATGCAACAAGATAGTGAGAGATGGTGATGCAACAAGATAGTGAGAGATGGTGATGCAACAAGATAGTGAGAGATGGTGATGCAGCAAGATAGTGAGAGATAGTGATGCAACAAGAGATAGTGAGAGATGGTGATGCAACGAGATAGTGAGAGATGATGCAACAAGAGATAGTGAGAGATGGTGATGTAACAAGAGATAGTGAGAGATGGTGATGCAACAAGAGATAGTGAGAGATGGTGATGCAACAAGAGATAGTGAGAGATGGTGATGCAACAAGAGATAGTGAGAGATGGTGATGCAACAAGAGATAGTGAGAGATGGTGATGCAACAAGAGATAGTGAGAGATGGTGATGCAACAAGAGATAGTGAGAGATGGTGATGCAACAAGAGATAGTGAGAGATGGTGGTGCAACAAGAGATAGTGAGAGATGGTGATGCAACAAGAGATGGTGATGCAACAAGAGATGGTGATGCAACAAGAGATGGTGATGCAACAAGAGATGGTGATGCAACAAGAGAGTGATGCAACAAGAGGTAGTGAGAGATAGTGATGCAACGAGATAGTGAGAGATAGTGATGCAACAAGATATAGTGAGATAGTGATGCAACAAGAGATAGTGAGATAGTGATGCAACAAGAGATAGTGAGAGATGGTGATGCAACGAGGCAGTGAGAGATGGTGATGCAACAAGAGATAGTGAGAGATGGTGATGCAACAAGAGATAGTGAGAGATGGTGATGCAACAAGAGATAGTGAGAGATGGTGATGCAACAAGAGATAGTGAGAGATGGTGATGCTACAAGAGGCAGTGAGAGATGGTGATGCAACAAGAGGCAGTGAGAGATGGTGATGCAGCAAGAGATAGTGAGAGTGATGCAGCAAGAGATAGTGAGAGATGGTGATGCAACGAGGCAGTGAGAGATGGTGATGCAACAAGAGATAGTGATGCAACAAGAGATAGTGAGAGAGAGTGATGCAACAAGAGGCAGTGAGAGATGGTGATGCAACAAGAGATAGTGAGAGATAGTGATGCAACAAGAGATAGTGATGCAACAAGAGGCAGTGAGAGATGGTGATGCAACAAGAGGCAGTGAGAGATGGTGATGCAACAAGAGATAGTGAGAGATGGTGATGCAACGAGGCAGTGAGAGATGGTGATGCAACAAGAGGCAGTGAGAGATGGTGATGCAACAAGAGGCAGTGAGAGATGGTGATGCAACAAGAGTCAGTGAGAGATGGTGATGCAACAAGAGATAGTGAGAGATAGTGATGCAACAAGAGGCAGTGAGAGATGGTGATGCAACAAGAGGCAGTGAGAGATGGTGATGCAACAAGAGTCAGTGAGAGATGGTGATGCAACAAGAGATAGTGAGAGATAGTGATGCAACAAGAGGCAGTGAGAGATGGTGATGCAACAAGAGGCAGTGAGAGATGGTGATGCAACAAGAGATAGTGAGAGATAGTGATGCAGCAAGAGATAGTGAGAGATGGTGATGCAACAAAAGATAGTGAGAGATAGTGATGCAACAAGAGATAGTGAGAGATGGTGATGCAGCAAGAGATAGTGAGAGATGGTGATGCAACAAAAGATAGTGAGAGATAGTGATGCAACAAGAGATAGTGAGAGATGGTGATGCAGCAAGAGATAGTGAGAGATGGTGATGCAACGAGGCAGTGAGAGATGGTGATGCAACAAGAGATAGTGAGAGATAGTGATGCAGCAAGAGATAGTGAGAGATGGTGATGCAACAAAAGATAGTGAGAGATAGTGATGCAACAAGAGATAGTGAGAGATGGTGATGCAGCAAGAGATAGTGAGAGATGGTGGTGCAACAAGAGGCAGTGAGAGATAGTGATGCAACAAGAGATAGTGAGAGATAGTGATGCAGCAAGAGATAGTGAGAGATGGTGATGCAACAAAAGATAGTGAGAGATAGTGATGCAACAAGAGATAGTGAGAGATGGTGATGCAGCAAGAGATAGTGAGAGATGGTGATGCAACGAGGCAGTGAGAGATGGTGATGCAACAAGAGATAGTGAGAGATGGTGATGCAACAAGAGGCAGTGAGAGATAGTGATGCAACAAGAGATAGTGAGAGATAGTGATGCAACAAGAGATAGTGAGAGATGGTGATGCAACAAGAGGCAGTGAGAGATGGTGATGCAACAAGAGATAGTGAGAGATGGTGATGCAACAAGAGATAGTGAGAGATAGTGATGCAACAAGAGGCAGTGAGAGATGGTGATGCAACAAGAGGCAGTGAGAGATGGTGATGCAACAAGAGGCAGTGAGAGATGGTGATGCAACAAGAGGCAGTGAGAGATAGTGATGCAACAAGAGGCAGTAAGAGATAGTGAGAGATAGTGATGCTACAAGAGATAGTGAGAGATGGTGATGCAACAAGAGATAGTGAGAGATGGTGATGCAACAAGAGATAGTGAGATGGTGCTGCAACAAGAGGCAGTGAGAGATGGTGATGCAACAAGAGATAGTGAGAGATAGTGATGCAACAAGAGGCAGTGAGAGATGGTGATGCAACAAGAGGCAGTGAGAGATAGTGATGCAACAATAGTGAGAGATAGTGATGCAACAAGAGGCAGTGAGAGATAGTGATGCAACAAGAGGCAGTGAGAGATAGTGATGCAACAATAGATAGTGAGAGATAGTGATGGAACAAGAGATAGTGAGAGATAGTAATGCAACAAGAGATAGAGATAGTGATGCAGCGAGAGAGAGAAATGAGTGTGGGCTGAGGTGAGGGTTAGAGATGGATGAGGCTGAGGGGGGGGGGGGGGGAGAGAGGATACGGTAGGCCACAGTACTGGTGTAAGACAGGCGGGAGTAGAGTACATGAAGGGTGAGGAAGCATCACTCTTGGCGGGGAAAACAATGCACAGCAAGACAATGCCACGCGCTGTCATGCTCTAGAGTTGCAAAATAATTTATTCGGCTTTTATTCTGTTATTGTTAAATGGTGTTGGGTCGAGAGAAACTGTTGGGTGGTATTGGGACGTAGTAGTGGTGGCGGTGTTGGTGTACTTGTCTAGTTGTGCTTTTGGGGGTTGAGCTCTGGCTCTTTGGTCCCACCTCTCAACTGTTAATCAACTGGTGTACAGGTTTCTGAGCCTATTTGGCTCTTATCATATCTACACTATAAACTGTGTTTGGAGTCAGGTCTCCGCCACATCACTGCCTAATACATTCCATTTGTCAACTACAGACACTAAAAAAATTCTTTGTCTCTATAACTGGACAACTGTGGACATGTTGACCAGACCACACACTAGAAGGTGAAGGGACGACGACGTTTCGGTCTGTCCTGGACCATTCTCAAGTCGAATGGCAATGCCACTCACAATACTTTAGCCACGTTATTGTGACTCATTGCCTGCAACCGTGGACATATTCAAGATAAACTAAATAGTTTTCTCGAAGGAGTGCTGGACTAACCGAGCTGTGGTCGATATGTGGGCCTGCGGGCTTGGGCTTGGCTTTGGGCCAGGCTTGGGGGAGTATAAGAACTCCCAGAACACCATCAAGCAGGTATCAAGCAAGCAGGCTCATTTGGGCACTCAATTTTCACCTGTGTCCCCTAGTGTGTGTGCTCCTTGTGTTAAGCAATGTTTCTTTTGTTGTGTATTTCAGTACTCACTCAATTGTACTCAGCTAATTGTGCTTGCAGGGGTTGAGCTCTGGCTCTTTGGTCTATCATGATAGTGATACTAAGTCTCACTATTCACTCACAAAAAACTTGACACTAGTCATGTCGGCTAATGTGGAAGTTTGCCTTTGATGGGAGATGTGATGAGCGTGATCCACCTCTTCATATTATAGCGCCGTTTCTCAACCTTTGTTCCCTAAAAGTAACTCTGGCTCGTACTCAAGATAAACACACACAGGTTTCATTGTCAACCGAAAGGAGATGGTTTCTGTCTTTGCTTTTGACACTGGTTAAATGAGAAAAATTAAATAAAAAGACTTGACAATACATTTGTTTATGATTAGAATTACCCCTAGTTATCACTATCTCTTGCAGAAGCCCAGGTTAAGAAATGCCATGTTAGAGGTTTAACCCTTAACCACCGCACTGCGCACCTGGTTTCGGCAAAAACTTCATAGTGCAATTATTAAAGGCATATTTTTGTTATTTTTGTAAATGTTCAGGTAAAGTTAATATCAAAATGTTTCCAAACAAGCCATTTTCATTTCAAAACAGTGATGTAAACATTAAAAAAGTCTAATTAAAAAAAAAAAGCATAATTCACAGAACGCCTCAAGGTGCGCTGCGCAGCGGTTAAACAGCTCGGGGTAATTAAAAGTCCTACATCATGGTGAGCATGACGAGAAAATAGAACACAAAACCAATGTCAACAAAAATTTCATTAAGCGATTGAAACACACAGGGTAATTGCAGGTAGTGCATGGAGCTGTTAAGGGTTAAGTTAATTCAGTAACTAGATAGGAGAACAGTTTGAAAAGGGTTAAGTATTTAAACCCAGATTATAGGCCAGGTGTTGTGTTGCCACTAAACAAGTTCCTCCTCCAACAGCTTGTGGATAGTGTCGACGTGGAAACTGAGTCGGGCCCAGCATGGGGTGTTGCACAGTGAGTCGGTTGGTGCACTGTGCAATCAACCTTCCAAGCTTTTCTTGGGGGAGACCTAACACAAACTGTGTCGTGTGCATACTAAGTGTTGCTGAACTAACCTATTTAGCATTTGGTGTTTAAACGTTTAAAACTAGCATTAGTACACGAGGAAATAAGTCGTGTCTGCAGATGTCTTCATAATCTTAACTCGAGGTACTACAGTAGTGTTGTTTGCTACTGGAACGACGAGGAGTATCCTTTTAGTTATACATTATTTGCACCCTTCCGTGCCCTTTCCTCGTCCCTCCGTGGCCCGAGGGTAAGTATACCTGTACGTGGACTCGTTGTCAAGCGTGAAGCGGGTTGTGAGAAGCCTCGCCTGTCACATCTAAGAGCGTTAATATTGCTGTGTGTGGACGTTTACGTTGTGGCTAATGTTTGTCACGGAATAGAATTAATCAAATCTAACTTTGTATCAATGTTTGTCTCTTCTTTATTTCCTTCCTATTCTGTTGATTTCTGCTTTTCTACTATTTTAACCCCCCTCTCTCTTGCCTCCTCCTCCATACCCTTCTTTTGTCCTGCCCCTCTTCTCTTACCCCTCTTCTGGCCTACTCATATCCCTCTTGCCCCCTCTCCACCCACTGTGTTTTCCTCATAATCTCTAGTTGTTTTGTTCTTTGTGTTCATCTTTGGCATCTCTCTCATTTGCCAGGGTGGACACAGCTAGTGAAAAATACAAGGATAGCAAAACTAACCCTAGAGAGCTCACGGAAACCCCTGCCTGATAACAGCACATTCAAGATCTAGCGGCACTGACACGTACAAGATCTAGCGGCACTGACGTGTGGCACTAGGCACAGCACGTACAAGATCTCAGAGCGCTGACGTGTGGCACTGTAGAACATTTCTTGGAAAGTTTTCTTGTGAAACAGTTTCGGCCACACCTCTTGACCTGCCCGAGCCACTGCGCCTTCTCTGGGTGTTGACAACTTGCAAGCGTGACTAGGATCAGGTGTGCAATTGACCTTCAAAAAGTGCACAAGTTGGGATTGATCGGCAGTTGCCATCGCAGTTTGTCATCGCAAGGGCACAGTAATGTTTATGCTGAAAGAAAAGTTGTCACACTTGGGGCACAGTTTTGTAAGTGATAACTAAGCACGTTACGGTATGTTTCACCGTTATATTAGTGCCCTTTCTAAATAAGTCTTTTTGACCTGCGATAGCATTTGCCTAGTTTTTATATTGTTCACCTGTTTCAGAACAAGGTTGAGGCAATAGGCCCCTAGTGCTCTGGTATTTTTCTGGATTGAAGAAGTGGTGGTTACTTACCAACTACGGTTAGAATAGTCACTACCATCCTTGGGGTACCGGCCCCTTGCATGCGTCACAATTTTTTGGGCATCGTCAGTCTATTCAACTAGTTTTACCCATGTGGGTAATTTTGTAGATTTTTTTTATCACGATTTCTTGCATTACCTTTTGAAGGCATTTTATACTTATAAAGTTTTTCATTTAATTGCAACACCTGTGAAGAATTATTCGGGTTGCATTTTGTTTCACCAAATATAAAGGTTGCGTAGTGTAATGGTGTTTTTTGCAGACATCTCGAGATCCGTTAAGAACTTTTGTAGAGATGTTCGTCATTGCAACATAAATTTACTAGTGTTGTTATAATTTGCTTGTGTTGACATGAAGTAGATTGTGTGCTTAGGGACTTTGAAGAATATTCTCTGAAAGTACTGAATTTTCAAACTACCTGCATATGCACATCATTTAAGAGTGTGTGTGTGTGTATCTTAGAAGTTCAGGAACAGAGGTTCGATTTCAGCCACGGTGTTTATTCTTCAAAGTGTTGTAATTTGCCTGAATTTTGTTATGCTCTTGTGTACCTCATTAGCACGCAGTCTCCTAGTCTCATCTCGGGCAGCATTATCCGCTAATGTGTTTTCATAACTTTTGTGTTACTGTAGCAAAATTCTCTAGCCACTCACATATTTCTTTGGCTAATTGCCCTTCATTCTGCATATGTTTTACATTTCCTCTTTGTAATCATGTGTTGAGTGCGTGCTCTGCATGCCCATTTTGTCTCTCTCTCTTACTAGAGAGTAGTGTACATGCACATATTTGTTGTTTCAATATTAATTATGTTGCCTTTTAGGTCATTTATTGTAGGGAGCAAATTTCATTTCGTGTGGCCCCCTGCTTTTCTCATTGTTAAATTACATCGTGTGCATTTGTGCTGCCTGCTGTGTGTGTGTGTGTGTGTGTGTGTGTGTAATTACCTAAGTGTAGTTACAGGATGAGAGCTACGCTCGTGGTGTCCCGTCTTCCCAGCACTCTTTGTCATATAACGCTTTGAAACTACTGACGGTCTTGGCCTCCACCACCTTCTCACTTAACTTGTTCCAACCGTCTACCACTCTATTTGCGAAGGTGAATTTTCTTATATTTCTTCGGCATCTGTGTTTAGCTAGTTTAAATCTATGACCTCTTGTTCTTGAAATTCCAGGTCTCAGGAAGTCTTCCCTGTCGATTTTATCAATTCCTGTAACTATTTTGTATGTAGTGATCATATCACCTCTTTTTCTTCTGTCTTCTAGTTTTGGCATATTTAATGCTTCTAACCTCTCCTCGTAGCTCTTGCCCTTCAGTTCTGGGAGCCACTTAGTAGCATGTCTTTGCACCTTTTCCAGTTTGTTGATGTGCTTCTTAAGATATGGGCACCACACAACAGCTGCATATTCTAGCTTTGGCCTAACAAAAGTCATGAACAATTTCTTTAGTATATCGCCATCCATGTATTTAAATGCAATTCTGAAGTTAGAAAGCATAGCATAGGCTCCTTGCACAATATTCTTTATGTGGTCCTCAGGTGATAGTTTTCTATCTAGAACCACTCCTAGATCTCTTTCTTTATCAGAATTCTTTAAAGATTTCTCACATAATATATAGGTTGTGTGGGGTCTATGTTCTCCTATTCCACATTCCATAACATGACATTTATTAACATTAAATTCCATTTGCCAAGTGGTGCTCCATATACTTATTTTGTCCAGGTCTTCTTGAAGGGCATGACAATCATCTAAATTTCTTATCCTTCCTATTATCTTAGCATCATCAGCAAACATGTTCATATAATTCTGTATACCAACTGGTAGATCATTTATGTACACAATAAACATCACTGGTGCAAGAACTGAACCCTGTGGTACTCCACTTGTGACATTTCTCCATTCTGATACATTGCCTCTGATTACTGCCCTCATTTTTCTATCAGAAAATTTTTCATCCATGATAGAAGCTTACCTGTCACCCCTCCAATATTTTCCAGTTTCCAGAACAACCTCTTATGTGGAACTCTGTCGAAAGCCTTTTTTAGGTCCAGATAGATGCAGTCAACCCAACCATCTCTTTCCTGTAATATCTCTGTGGCTCGATCATAGAAACTGAGTAAATTCGATACACAGGATCTTCCAGATCGAAAACCATACTGTCTGTCTGATATTATATCATTTCTCTCTAGGTGTTCTACCCATTTAGTTTTGATTAGTTTTTCCAATACTTTCACTATTACACTTGTCAATGATACAGGTCTATAATTGAGGGGGTCTTCCCTGCTGCCACTTTTGTAGATTGGAACTATGTTAGCCTGTTTCCACCCGTCTGCTACGATTCCTGTACACAGGGATGCCTGAAAGATCAGGTGAAGTGGAATGCTGAGCTCAGATGCACATTCTCTCAGAACCCATGGTGAAACGCCATCTGGGCCAGCTGCTTTGTTCTTACCGAGCTCCTTGAGCATTTTTTCCACTTCGTCTCTAGACACCTCTATGTGTTCTATGTTGTTCTCTGGAATTCTTATTGTATCTGGTTCCCTAAAGATTTCATTTTGTACAAACACACTTTGGAACTTTTCGTTTAGTGTTTCACACATTTCCTTTTCATCTTCCGTGAATCTATTTCCCATTTTCAACCTCTGAATATTATCCTTTACCTGCAATTTGTTTGTGTGTGTAATTACCTAAGTGTAATTACCTAAGTGTAGTTACAGGATGAGAGCTACGCTCATAGTGTCCCGTCTTCCCAGCACTCTTTGTCAGATAACGCTTTGAAACTACTGACGGTCTTGGCCTCCACCACCTTCTCACCTAACTTGTTCCAACCGTCTACCACACTGTTTGCGAAAGTGAATTTTCTTATATTTCTTCGGCATCTGTGTTTAGCTAGTTTATATCTATGACCTCTTGTTCTTAAAGTTCCAGGTCTCAGGAAATCTTCCCTATCGATTTTATCAATTCCTGTTACTATTTTGTATGTAGTGATCATATCACCTCTTTTTCTTCTGTCTTCTAGTTTTGGCATATTTAATGCCTCTAACCTGTGTGTGTGTGTGTGGTTACCTTGAGGTTACCTTGAGGTGCTTCCGGGGCTTAGCGTCCCCGCGGCCCGGTCGTCGACCAGGCTTCCTGGTTGCCGGACTGATCAACCAGGCTGTTGGACGCGGCTGCTCGCAGCCTGACGTATGAGTCACAGCCTGGTTGATCAGGTATCCTTTTGAGGTGCTTATCCAGTTCTCTCTTGAACACTGTGAGGGGTCGGCCAGTTATGTCCCTTATGTGTAGTGGAAGCGTGTTGAACAGTCTCGGGCCTCTGATGTTGATAGTTCTCTCTTGAACACTGTGAGGGGTCGGCCAGTTATGTCCTTATGTGTAGTGGAAGCGTGTTGAACAGTCTCGGGCCTCTGATGTTGATAGAGTTGTCTCTCAGAGTACCTGTTGCACGTGTGTGTGTGTGTGTGCTGCCTTCTCCTGTGTCATGCATTTTGCTGCTTTCTGTTCTAGTTGCTTTTATTTATAAATATGTATGTCAAAGCAGATCTCAGGTACAGTATTTTAAAACATAGGGTATACATACATTTATAATCTCCACTTGTAATTTTGCTGATGGTATCACCCAGAAATGCATTGACAAGTGGCATTTTGTTTGCAGGCACCCGCAGCCATGCCGGAGGAGAAGGCGGGGAAGGGGGAGAATGGCGTCGGGGCAGAAACAAAGGCCCCCGAGTCCCCCAGTAAGTCCCCGTCGAAGGCTCCCAGAGGGAAGATGGTTCTTGCCCGCGTGAAGCTCCTCGATGGCACCGATTGTGAAGTGGCTGTGGAGGTGAGTGCAGTTAAACGAACGTGCCATGTTGTTATATTATTGGTAACCCGGTGTGTAATATTCAACAGTCAGAACTGGATCATCTGCTATGAAAAGCTAAGTCCCTTGAGGTACTGTGCTTGCGCTGGTGTTGTTCTCATCTTCGTCACACACACGTTAGGATACAAGCCACAGTACTGTATCATCCTTTGCACATGGCAGTATGATATTCATATAGAGGTCACAGCAAATTTCCAATTCGATGGCAGTTGGGTTTTTCAGTGAGCCACAGAAAATATGATGATTAATGAAGAGTAGTTCCAGCACCTGCGCTATGGAAAAAGTGAAAATATTAAAACGGAAACCACACAAAATACTGTACAGTCAGACCACACTATTGAAAGAAACGGCAATATAAACAATTTGGGAGTATTAAGTTCGGAGACGTCTAAAGAACACAGAGTATCTGTAACAACTTGCAAGAAAAATGACAGGTTGGATAATATGAACCTTTCAAACAAAAGATGCCATACCAATGATACTTTTCAAAGACACTAGTGCTCTCTTTGATGGATTATTGTTGCATACTAACAGCCCCTTTCAATGGTGGGGAAATTTCTTACCTGGAGAACATGCAGAGTTCTATTACTGCCCAAATCCATTTGGTAAAATATCTAAATTATTGGGACCAAATAAAATGTTTAAACTCTGTATTCTCTAGAGTGCAGGTAAGAGAGAGATACATAATAATTTACACTTGGGAAAATGTTAGAAGGGCTGGTTCCATATCTGCACATGGAAATAACTCCATGTGAAACCAGCAGACATGGCAGGATATGCAACATAGCCCCATTGAAAAGCAGAAGTACAATAGGTAAACCTTACCTTGAGGTGCTTCCGGGGCTTAGCGTTCCCGCAGCCCGGTCGTCGACCAGGCCTCCTGGTTGCTGGACTGATCAACCAGGCTGTTGGACGCGGCTGCTCGCAGCCTGACGTATGAGTCACAGCCTGGTTGATCAGGTATCCTTTGGAGGTGCTTATCCAGTTCTCTCTTGAACACTGTGAGGGGTCTGCCAGTTATGTCCCTTATGTGTAGTGGAAGCGTGTTGAACAGTCTCGGGCCTCTGATGTTGATAGTTCTCTCTCAGAGTACCTGTTGCACCTCTGCTTTTCAACGGGGGTATTCTGCACATCCTGCCATGTCTTCTGGTCTCATGTGATGTTATTTCTGTGTGCAGGTTTGGGACCAGCCCCTCTAATATTTTCCACGTGTAAATTATTATGTATCTCTCCCGCCTGCGCTCAAGGGAGTACAGATTTAGGTATGCTGATGAAAAACTATCAACATCAAGGGTCCAAGACTTTCAACACATTTCTTCTAAACATAAGGGGCATAACTGACCAACCTCTCATGGTATTCAAGAAAGAACTCTTATAAACACCTCCAATGGGTACCTGATAAACCAGGCTGTCAGACTACGAGCAGCCGCACCTAACAGTCTGGCTTGACCAGACCACCAACCAGGACGCCTGGTCAGAGATTGGACTGCTGGGACGGTGATCCTTGGAACCAGTAACAGGTAGTGAACTTGGACCCTGGTGGGCCACACCATTCTTATATCTCAACGTGTGGCCTGGTAGTGACAGTTTAGGCAAGGACATTTTGGTTTTTAGTGTTTTTTTGGGGTAGGGGGAGGGTCATTACCACCCCCCCCCCCTCATACCACCATCACACCCCCCAATGGTGGCCCAATCTCTGCCTAGGATTTGGTTGGCAAACCAACCTCGTGGTTTGCCAGTTGAATCTGTTGGACCAACAGCCTGGCCTGTGGCCAACCTTCTTTTGTGATTGTCTGGCCCGGTCTCAGAGGCGGCTCGGCCGGCCCGGTCTCCGAGACCCAGAAAGCCGTCACAACCTGGGTTATAATCCAGTAATGCCGGCAGTCTTTTGTGCATCATGTTGATGAGTAGAAGAAAATTAAGTCTGAAAATTATTGTGAATGCCAACAAGATGAACGCAGTGATAAGTTCTGCACCTGCAAGATTACCACTTGCACGGCGGGGCTTTTGACCAGATCTTCCTGTACATAGTACTTCTTGACCTCAGTCACGGCAAACTGGTGACCTCTTGACCTCAGTCTCGGCAAAAAATTAGTTTTCCGTTTTCTACTTAAATTACTGTACTGTAACCGAGTACTATGGTGGCATGGTACATGGGTTTGTACAGTGCCAGTATGGGGTGGGAATATCATGCCTGCAGTTATGCTGAAGCCTTACGAGTGTGGGCGGCGAGGGAGGTGTGTACGTGTGTGTGGGACGGGGGGAGAGGCAGGGAGGGGGTGTACGGAAGTGGATTGACAATACAGGGAGATCAGGTGTGGAGACTGGAATTTAAATTCTTCTGAATGTTGATAAAATGTTTGGAATGTGGGTGAAAAGTTTTCAGATGGTGTGCAGAAGAGGTAAAGTTGCACTGTTGCTTGAAACAGGAAGTGATAATCACTCTTGCAGTGTTGCCAAATAATTATTTTTTAAATTCATTCAAGCTTTGTATGAAGTCTTCTTGACAGCAAACAACCTCTACAGCTGTAAATATCACTAGTGGCAGAAACAATCAAACTATGTACTACTATAACACCAACATGGAATCAAATGCTGCTGGAAACATGACAAAACAAATTAAATTACAATGCATATAGCTACATCCCCCACGGGGTAGCTACACCCCCCACGGGGTAGCTACACCCCCCACGGGGTAGCTACACACCCCACGGGGTAGCTACACACCCCACGGGGTAGCTACACCCCCCACGGGGTAGCTACACCCCCCACGGGGTAGCTACACCCCCCACGGGGTAGCTACACCCCCCACGGGGTAGCTACACCCCCCACGGGGTAGCTACACCCCCCACGGGGTAGCTACACCCCCCACGGGGTAGCTACACCCCCCACGGGGTAGCTACACCCCCCACGGTGTAGCTACACCCCCCACGGGGTAGCTACAGAATTGACCCCACTTGTCCACTCTTCAAATGTTAACCTATGAGAACACCCTGACCAAGCAGCACCAACTTAGTACACCGTGCAGACCCTAAGACAGCAGCTCTTGATGACTGAGGAGTCACTGATCAAACCACAAAATATTAGCTCATTGTGACTACCTGCTTGATGGGGTTCTGGGAGCTCTTCTACTGCCCAAGGCCGGCCCGAGGCCAGGCTTGACTTGTGAGAGTTTGGTCCACCAGGCTGTTGCTTGGAGCGGCCCACAGGCCCACATACCCACCACAGCCCGGCTGGTCCGGCACTTCATGAAGAAAACTATCTAGTTTTCTCTTGGTGTCCACGGTTGTTCCGGCAATATTTCTTATATTCCCTGGGAGGGTGTTGAACAATCGTGGACCTCTGATATTTATACAGTGTTCTCTGACTGTGTACTACAGAAGTACACCAAGCAGTTTCCCCGGGCCATGAAAGCTAGATTTATCCTCATAGTCACTGATAGATAAGTACGCCTCTGGACATATCGACTGTCAAAGGGACCATCTTTAATATTTGGGTATAGTTACTAATGATGACCTTAAGAATCTGACGCCCCTCAAAATTCACATTCCATTGTTTTACAGACAAATCATGTACAGTATTTATAACAAATCATCCAACCGTTCTCTCAGGGAATTCGGACAAAAGTACAAGACACACTGCCAAAATTATATATTATAAGCATGGACAAAGATGCATCAACACTTCATTCACTTAGAGCACTCGAAACCTCTATTAATTAAGGTTTCCCATGTATAGTAGTATATATGTTGAGATTTCATTCTCGAAAACATCACATTCCTGTGATTTCATCATGTATTCTCTATATTATCTTTGTTGGTTCCTGTATGGGCCCCAAAGTTAAGCAGAAGCATGAACAAGGTTTATTTATGTTTAATTTTGACGATCTCAGTTCATTTTGTCGGGTTATGCATATCCCCTTCAAAGATAATATAGAGAATGCACTGAAATCACAGGAATATGATATGTCTGAGAAAATCTTAGGGTTTGCTGCCACACACTACTCCAATGTCCTGGTCACACCAGTTGCACTACGATCTCTGAAGTTTGTCGGGGATTTTGGCTACGATCTCTGAAGTTTGTGGCAATTTAGCTGGTAATGCATGTCTCTGGACTGACCCAGGAAGTGAGTTCAATTCCACACACTGCTCCAAAGATTTTCCAATGGAGAATATTTTCTGGTAGAATTGTTGCAGTAATCAAATGGTAGAATTGTTGCAGTAAATGACACTGTTGCATGTGAGTCCGCTACACGCCAGCACATGAAACACTGTTGGTTTTGGTTTCACCCCAACAGAAAAAGGCCAAGGGTATAGACTTGCTTGTGAGCGTCGCAGACCGCATCAACCTCCTCGAGAAGGACTACTTTGGGTTCATCTATACTGACCACAACAATACCACAAACTGGCTCAACCTCGAGAAGCGCATTTCCAAGCAGGTCAAGGGACCCTGGGAGTTCAAGTTTGAGGTCAAGTTTTATCCTCCGGACCCAACGCAACTCGCAGAAGACATAACTCGGTACCAGTTGTGCCTCCAGGTAAGACGGCTCTCAGAGTTTTGTAGTATAATTGACACCATCAAACTATCTATTGCTTGAGGCAAGATGACTAAGAGAGCTTTGTCGCCTCATTAATGTCTCCTAACCCCAGAGGTACGAGCTAGATGAAGCCTTCAATATTATGGGCAGGTTGATGTCATTCGTAGTGTGCATATAGCCAGGTGACGTCATATCAAAGCTATGACCACAAGTGAAGCTGTTACTTCTGTCATACTATGAGCGAGTGTAATGTAAAGTCTTCCTCACAGTTATCACTCTTGTTACATCTTCCTTATTTGTGAAGAGGAGTGAAGTGTTGCTATATTTGATGGAGTGACTTGTTCATTGACTTTACTTGCAACAGGTACGGCAAGATATTTTGACTGGGAAGCTGCCGTGTTCCTTCGTTACCCACGCTCTCCTGGGCTCGTATATGGTTCAGGCGGAGGTGGGGGATTACGATGCTAAGGAACACGTAGGCACGTCTTACCTCGCCGAGTTCACTTTTGCTCCCAATCAGAATGCTGAGCTGGAGGAGAAAGTTGTTGATCTGCACAAGACTCATAAGTGAGTTTATCTGCTTTATGATTTTCTACAATTATTATTATTATTATTATTATAACTTTATTTTCCATTTGGGCATGTGCCTGAACATGATAACGAAGCAGTATAGGTAAAGAGTACTAATGATGTTCGGAATGACTGTCGTCTGTACTCTGTATTTTGCACTAAACGCCATCATGGAGAATCGACACTTATCACAATCTTCACACTCCACCAGCTGCTATTCTGAGTATAAATCGACCCAACGGAAATCAAAGTGTGAGCGTACAAATTGAGAATGGAGGGAGAGAGTGTGTTGAGCAGTCACATAGTGATCAGTATTGGTCCACTTCTCTTCCTGATCTACAGTAATGATCAGCCTGAGAAAGCACGTTCATTCACGTTACTGCTTGTCATAATTCTCGACTAACGAGCCAAAACACGTGAAGACTACTGAATTCTGATGTGGGTTCTAAATTTCCTATGAGAGTAGTGGGAAAATGAGGCTATGGAGTTCAACATATTAAGTTTAAAATTAGAAGAACGGGGGAAGAAAAGAAAGAACCGATGGTCAATAAACATGGGTGCAACTAATGGCATCCACAATGGGGAAAGATCTTGGCATCAGTATGATAACAAGTCACATCCGTAGTACCGGTACGTGTTGACGGATTAACACGAGTAGCATAGGCCTGTGGGGCCGCTCTATATGGCCTTATAAACTCCAAGTGTTAGGCAAAGTTAACAAGACATAAGAGCAGCTTTTTTGTAACACTGTATGCAACATTAATTACACCGGTCCTGGAATTTAGTTGGGGGAGAAGTGGGGGGGGAGTTAGCTTTTAAGTGATGATTTCTCCGATGGGTCTGGGCTTCTTCTTGTTTGACCTCGATTCCTTTTATATTTTCTATTAACTTTTTTTTATCCCATCACATATTTCTTTCATTGTGCTCTTGTTTCAGGTTGAGTGCGCGCGAATTCATTTATTTGATTACGTAAGGTTATTTTTTGTCGTTTGATTATACATGGCAGCAGGTCGGCCGAGCGCACAGTATGCTGGACTTGTGATCCTGTGGTCCTGGGTTCGATCCCAGGTGCCGGCGAGAAACAATGGGCAGAGTTTCTTTCACCCTATGCCTCTGTTACCTAGCAGTAAAATAGGTACCTGGGTGTTAGTCAGCTGTCACGGGCTGCTTCCTGGGAGTGGAGGCCTGGCCGAGGACCGGGCCATGAAGACACTAAAAAGCCCCAAAATCATCTCAAGATATTCCGCCACTGACAACAAGTGGCCCAATCAGGAACCATTTGCTTCACTCTTCCCTTACATCTTGCTACTTTAAATGGAATCGGGGTCAATTTTTTTTCTAAACAGTGTGAGAATCTGGAAAATTGGAGGTCAAATAATAGTTTAGACTATTATAAATTATGCTTTATAAATTTGTTGGGTTTGTTTAAATACAGTGTAGTTAACATGTAACATTTCCTGGCCTGTCATTTCCTTCCATGTTGTGTACGTAATTGTTGCTGTAATGATTGAGTTTGGCTCAGAACACCCACTGCCGCACCTAACAAGTGCTACGTAAATACAGACTTACATTTGCAAGTTTCAAAACAAATACATAGTACACAGTGTATGATGTATTTTATTACGTGCATGCTAATAGCAAGGTTACTCTGTCGACTACTGTGTTTAATTAAATAATTTTATTGTTTAATGAGGTTAAACTGCAACATGATATTCAGCTACTTGGTACCCAATGGGTGCAGGGCTTCGGACAAAATGATGTGTATACTACATGGAGCATGTATATCGTTGATTAAACTGTGCGTTATTGTTCAGAGGCCAGACGCCGGCAGAAGCAGAGCTGCACTACCTCGAGAACGCCAAGAAGTTGGCCATGTATGGTGTCGACATGCACTCGGCGAAGGACTCGGAAGGCATCGACATCATGCTGGGAGTGTGCGCGTCTGGACTCCTTGTCTACAGGGATAAGTGCGTGTTTTTCTGTTGTATTATGATTCATTTGTAATGCTAGTTCAGTCATTGTCTCTTACTGGTGTAATAACAGTTCACAAATATGAGAGCGGTGTTTTGAGAAAATATTCAGGGGATTCGTTGGGATCAAACCCTCATCTCTAGGTGCTGCACAGTCCACGGGAGGCAGGGTCAGATGCATAGTATAGCCTCGGTATTTTCTCAGATACATAACGTTCCTGTGATTATAGTAAGCAAGATGTTGTTTAACTTCTCTCTTGCAGCCTATTGTTTTTGGTCATCCTAGTGAAGCTGCATGATGCTTGTCACATGTTTACTGAATGCATTTGGTGAACATTATTTAGAAAGACGTGATTTTGATCTCGTCTCTGAGCTCGGAATCAAATGTTGTCTCACTACATAAAGCCAGATAATACTTGTTTGGAAATGTGTGTTCTTGCCATCTCTCACATGCATTTTGCATTGCTAATTTTGACTGTCTTTTCAGGCTACGTATTAACCGGTTTGCGTGGCCCAAAATCTTGAAAATCTCGTACAAGCGCAGCAACTTTTACATCAAAATTCGACCCGGAGAGTTTGAAACCTTTGAATCGACGATTGGCTTTAAACTTCCGAACCACAAGGCTGCCAAGAAGTTATGGAAGGTGTGCGTCGAACACCACACATTCTTTAGGTAAGATATGGAAGGTGTGTTCAAGGAAGGTGTGTTCAAGGAAGGTGTGTTCATCAGGTAAACGGTGTTCCCTTATTGTGTACACAGACACTTGAAGCAGCTGGTGATGGCTAGGATCAAGGTCACGTTGCACGCTACACCCACGAACACACAAACACACACGCTCTGTCGCATTAAATCCCATGGCACTTTGTTTACAGTACTTCAGAGTTGTTGTTCTCACATTTGGAATTTCATGCAAAACACAGGAGCAAGATGGTGCTGTTAATTATATTGTTTGGAATTGAGGACTGGTTTAAATTCAACAGGCAGGAACAGTGGTTAAACATGGAGACTTGTAGTCCCTAAATGACTATACGTTTGTAGAAATTGAGGACAGGAACTCGTGGTGGTCTTAAGATGGTAACCTCAAGTAGGTAGTGTGTAGCTTTTTTGTTGTCATAATGATTCGTACAATATTATAGGACCTACTGACTTAGTTGTTTGATCCCACTGTTGTACATTTTTCTTAGTTACGAAATAGAAGGCATTGGCGAGATTGTGGACTCTTGGGTGTAGTGAGGCTTTGTGTTCAAACCAAAGTCTTCAACAAGAGAGAGGCTTAGTGTTATCCTCTCTTGCCCCAAATGAAGGCAGAAACTAATTGGTGGTCACCCATGTTGTTGATGACTTGGGTGCTACTTGATCAAGGTAGTGGCGTCTCAAGTTTGGTGCGTCCTGAAAATGACAGTGGTTTGAATGACTGGCCTGGGAGCTCATTGGTCCCGCCCAAATCTGGACCAATGAGTTGTGAGGTCCTGTGGAATTCCTTCTCATGACTGGTTTTCTGGAACATGACACACCGGCTTCTCTAATTGTTGGCCGTGGATCCCTGCATGACACCCTGCAGAAGATCTGGAAGTCATTTACATAAATATGTAAACGATATATCAACCTCTTGGCCTCTGAGTAGCACGGGAAGAACTCACGAAGACCCTTCGAGGTAAAATGTTAAGTAAACTAGGTAACCCGTATTGCTGGGGTCTTAATATTCAAGGCAAAGTTTTGACTGATCCTTCTGCTTTGCTTGCGGCTAATTCTCCTTGTCATTTACTGGTACTATTACAGTATATTACCTATCATAAGGCTTACTGTTAGACAAAGTGAAGTGCAATCATACAAAATTCATGCACAGGGAAGCTGGCTGTATAGCAACATCACTGGTCAACATTTCTGCCACCCATCACAGGTGTAAAGTGCTGCTCTTTGCTGCATTGATCATACTAAATTGTTTGCTGATTGTATTGAAGAAATTATCACTCGAAATTGTCCTTGACACTATCGCGCGCGCCACGTGAGCACCGCAGACTTTGATGTCATGGGGCTAATGGTGCAGGCGAGCGGGCGGCGCCGCCTAAATGTGTATACTCGTTTCAGTTTTCTCACCTTAGTTCTCATGCTACGTCGTTCGTTTTGGTATCATTGTGTTCGCATTTAAATTCCCTGCAGATGTACATGCATATAATGTCCAAAAGCCTGGGGAGACTCCCCGCAGCAAAGCCTAAAGTTACCCGTGAACAAGCACCAATTTGCACACCACAACCTAATGTGTATACTCTCTCAGTTTGATAACATCAATTTTCATGCTACATCACTTGTTTTGGTATCAAATTGTTCACAATATAAAGGCGCACATTTTAAAACTAGTCCCATAATGATAGCACAATAAATAGAATTTTAACAATTATTTTAAAATTTAAAATTTAGACCCAAAAACGTATTTATAATCTTTCAGGTGTTCTAACATCAAGTTTCGTGTTTTATCTTTCATTTTGGTATCAAATTGTGCGCATTCTAATGGCGCTTATTTTGAAACTATCCCGAGGTCGATCGGATAAAAAATAAATTTTATACAAATATTTTTGTAGTGGACGCAAGTCCTGTCCACGGCTAGGACTCGAGAGAAAAAAAAATGGACATGATCGGTGTCCAAAGAGAGCAATAGTATTAATTTCTTATTGTCCTTGTTAGATAATTTTTGGCTAGTTAAAATGTGTGTTCCTTGCAGATTAATGACACCAGAACCACCACAGAAGCAGGGTCTTTGGCCGCGCCTGGGCTCGAAGTTCCGGTATTCTGGCCGCACCCAATACCAGTCACGTATGGCAGCCAACCTCAGCGACCGAAATAACCCAGAGTTTGAGAGAACTCTGAGTCGCAGAAAGTTGTCGTCGCGAAGCATGGACGGTAAGAGACGGGACGAGGCTGTTGTGTCGTCGCTTGGAGTTTTGGAATCACCTTTATCACTTTTGGCTCGTTAAGCACCTTTTGCTGCTAGCTAAATTGATCTAGTAAAGGATTTAATGTGTAGAGTTCAGACCGGTTCAGTATCGGATTTTGTGTTGCAAAGATACTGCCGTAGATTATGAGTAAATGAATATGTTGCAGCATATGATTTTTGCACTTCATGCACTGTGGCCAATGTAGATCATATCATTACTAGTCTAGTGAAATTAATCATTTTTATTTTCTCAAGATCAATATCTTTCTAGTGTAGTTTCTCATTATTTCTCCCCCCTCATCCACGATCTTCACAAGTCTGAAGTGCCGACGCTCGGTTCCAACCTTCGGAGTGGTGTGTCGTGACATAGGCGACGACTCGAGTGTACTCTTTGCATGTGTTTGTTGCTCTGAGAGGGGTTTGTCTCACTCTTACTGTTGGCTTCAGATGCGTGTTCCATTCGGTTCTTTTGTGTATGTTGATAACTTCTTGCCTGCTAGATCATGTTTACGTTGTCGTCGTCGTCCCCATCTGGGTGTTGGCACTGACTTGGGAATTTGTTCAGCTGGGCAATGTCCCCACTTCCTCTGCCTGGGCACTTTCCCCCCCCCCCCCCCATCCCTTTCTGGACATTGTGTTCCCTCCCCCACCTGAGCATTGTTTCCCTACCCCCTCCTGGGCATTGTCCCCTCCACCTGTACTTTGTTCCCCTCCCCCCCTTCATCTGCATATTGTCCCCCCCCTACCTGAACAGTCCCCCCCACCTCGACATTCTCCCCCCCCCCACCTGGGAATTTTCCAGTCTTGTATTTTCCCTGTAGGTTATTTTTCTTGCCTGGAATTTCTCCTGAATTGTTTTCCAACTCTCCGTATGTGGAGAGATGTTCTGTGCAGGGCATTTTTAGTGTGTGGTGAGCATGTGATAATTTACAAGTAACTAGTACTCTCTTGGTGCACATTAACTGCTCCATTTAGGGCTGGAGAATGTACACGGAGCATTTAGGGCTGGAGAATGTACACGGAGCATTTAGGACTGGAGAATGTACACGGAGCATTTAGGGCTGGAGAATGTACACGGAGCATTTAGGACTGGAGAATGTACACGGAGCATTTAGGGCTGGAGAATGTACACGGAGCATTTAGGGCTGGAGAATGTACACGGAGCATTTAGGGGCGGAGAATGTACACGGAGCATTTACTATCAGAACCAATTGAGATGCCTAAATTATTGGTAACATTTAAAATCCATCAAATATATTCTCAAGAATAATGCACTTCAATAAAATTCTATAAACATTGGTCCCAATACTGCCTTCGGCTTCGATGTGGCCCTTGGCTTTGGTCCCGTGGCCACCAATTTATGGATGATATTTACCTTTGGATGTGAATTGTTTCTCTGTAACATCCGAGTTTCATTACAACAGATTTGTTCTTGGTCTCGCAGTGTTCTGAACGTTTACTATCAGTACAGTAGTTTAGAGTGAGAAAAGTTGAGTTTGAGAGAGCGTGTGAATGTGATTGAGTTGGGCAGATAGAGAGAGAGAGAGGTGATGTTTAGACCACTAATGTTCAGTAAGTTGGGGTTGCCAGGGAGCTCTTGATGATGCTGTGATAATTTTATTATCTTTGTCAACATTGCAGCCATTATCATTATGGCAGCCAGCCCATCTACCACCTTCTTCCTGTCATTAACACCAGCTATCTTTTCCCAACCACTTATCATTGACTCGTCTACATGCACATCATCCCCACCACCGGTACCAACACTTAACACCATAAACAGGATGCCATCGGTAGCACATGGGACGATGGCAGACGTAAGAACATCATTTATAAACCTAGGTCAAGACTCATAGAAGGCAATTTAAAAACATTTACTAGACCAACACTTGACTATGCAGCACTGGTATGAAATCCGTACCTTGTGAAACATAAGTCCAAAATTGTTAAAAGTACATACAAATGTTTGCAACAAGATTAATACTAGACCTAAGAGTGTTAAGCTTTAAGAATAGGCATAAAGCAGACAAGGGTAACCTCTTTACATTGAGAGAAAGGAGGACAAGAACACAGGTGGAAGCTGGAAATGCAGATGAACCGAAGGAATGTAAAGAAATGCTAGTACCCTGTATGGGCGGTCAACAGGTGGAGTGACCTGGAAGAAGTTGTGAAGCCTGCTCTAGCCACAACTGTAATGCCAGATTTGACAAAGAATTTGCGCATGAAAATAGTCTAAACTGTAATGAAGCAGGTAGACAGGAACCTGTTCAGGTCTAAAGAGTTAGACCTCGCTTCCCCATAGACACTGTTAGGTAAGCACCCACCCCCACCACCACCACAGTACCACCACCACAGTACCACCACAACAGTACCACCACCACCACACCACTACCTACTGCCATAAGATCAACCTCCACTCCCCACCATCATCTTGCATCATATATCTGATTTGATTAATTTCTCAACCATGCATAATGTATATGTTTTTATTCCCTACACTGCTGCTGCATTGTGACACATTTGCTAGCCTACAATATCATGGAGGGTCAGTGGTGGTTTTTATGCATGCACCGTGCATACCTCATTTTTGTATCCATTGTACCCCCTTTTTGTATTTTTTGTGTAGTTTGGTAGCTTGCAGACGGCTAGCGTTGAGTCCGAGGTGACGTTTCTGGAAACCATTTAGAGATTCTGTAGTTTTGTGTTCCTTGCTTGCTGCTCAGTCTCCTCTGTTTTTTCTTTGTTTTGTGTTTAAATTCACTAGCCAAACTAGTGTGTAGAATTTCCTAATGGAGATTTGAGCACGTGATTTTGTATATGTTAGCACTTGAAGACGTAGAGATAGTTTGTGCTTTAGAGCAGCCATAGAGAGTCCTGTATACAGTTGCTGCTCCGTAGGCCTAGGAGGGGAATAGTCATCCATCCTGTATTTAGATGAAGATGGAGAAAGCCCTTTGCCATAAAAGTTGTATCTAAAGTCTATTTGTATGCATAGTTTATAATAACTTATCTATATCTCGTTTTTTTCCTTTATTAGGCCTGTCTTTAAATGGGTAATTGAGTTACATGGCCCAAAGTCAAGCTATGGTGTCTAAGTTTGGTGTTAGATGTGTATCCATAGCAGTAGCTGCAGAAACTGGTGACTATAATGGAAGCTTTATCATTTGGGAATTGCATAAAGCTGTAATAGCCATATCCTCACCTTTGTACTGTTGTGTGTGTGCGTCACCCAAGACCTCTACGACACAGTAGATGTATCCTTAAGCTGACAGGATGAATAAGCCAGTAATAATTTTGTTTTGAGAGCTTGGAATATTGGACTGGTATTGGGACCCATGTGGGACTGCACGAGCTGCCGTGTATATCCCTCACACTGGGGGTTACATTTGTGTTTATCCAGTTTCCCTTGAAGTATTAACCCATTTATTGTTCAGTGTATCTTGTTGTGTATGTTACACCATGGTGTTGGAGTCACCTGGGCTGTATGGGTCTGGACCCGTGGGCCCCTCGCGCATGAGGCCCAAGCTCTAGCACCTGGGCTATGAGACCCGTACGGCCCAGCTGACTGGAATGTTTATTTCCACGGAAGTGTGGATGAGAATTTGTACCGTGGCGTGTGTGGTTGTTGGCATGTGTTGCTGCGTATGTCATACCCCGTGTTCTAGACGAGTGGGGCGTGGTGATAGCACCACTTGCCACCTTTCTTTGGTTCATTTTGAATGTTGTTTGAACCAGCTGATTGTTGTAGCCGTACTCCTTCAATTTTGTTTATAACGATTGTGTGGTACAATATGGTCTTACCAGGAGCATGGGCAACTGGCTATATTAGCCTCTCTTGCATTTCAGTTTTTAAAATGTTCTCCATTGTTTCTATTGAATGATTGTTTTTTATATTCTACTATGTGCCTTTTCATTTTTCTTTAAAGCTAATTGGTCTCTTTCAGCACTGTCCCCTATGTTTGTTTACATATATATACAGTATGTTTCTGGCTGTCACTGTTATTTTCTGTCTCGCTCTACTACAGTACTGTACGTGTGTGTGTAAATCTTGCCCCATCTACCAGGACTGGTTAAGACGGTGATGATCGTGCTTCTTGCAGGATCGGTGCTTCATCGTGATGGCATCGTATACCAGCTTTGTGTTCTCGTGTTAGGCATTTGATGGCTTTGTTTAGGTGTCGTGTGAGCACCTGGTTGTTGTCCGGGTGGTGTGTGAGCACCTGGGTGTTGTCTGGGTGGTGTGTGAGCACCTGGTTGTTGTCCGGGTGGTGTGTGAGCACCTGGGTGTTGTCCGGGTGGTGTGTGAGCACCTGGGTGTTGTCCGGGTGGTGTGTGAGCACCTGGTTGTTGTCCGGGTGGTGTGTGAGCACCTGGGTGTTGTCTGGGTGGTGTGTGAGCACCTGGGTGTTGTTGGGTGGTGTGTGAGCACCTGGGTGTTGTCTGGGTGGTGTGTGAGCACCTGGGTGTGTTGTCTGGGTGGTGTGTGAGCACCTGGGTGTTGTCCGGGTGGTGTGTGAGCACCTGGGTTGTCTGGTGTGTGAGCACCTGGGTGTTGTCTGGGTGGTGTGTGAGCACCTGGTGTCTGGGTGGTGTGTGAGCACCTGGTGTGTGAGCACCTGGGTGTTGTCCGGGTGGTGTGTGAGCACCTGGGTGTTGTCTGGGTGGTGTGTGAGCACCTGGTTGTTGTCCGGGTGGTGTGTGAGCACCTGGGTGTTGTCTGGGTGGTGTGTGAGCACCTGGGTGTTGTCTGGGTGGTGTGTGAGCACCTGGGTGTTGTCTGGGTGGTGTGTGAGCACCTGGGTGTTGTCCGGGTGGTGTGTGAGCACCTGGTTGTTGTCTGGGTGGTGTGTGAGCACCTGGGTGTTGTCCGGGTGGTGTGTGAGCACCTGAGTGTTGTCTGGGTGGTGTGTGAGCACCTAGGTGTTGTCCGAGTAGTGTGTGACCACCTGGTTGTATTGTCCGGGTCGTATGCCTGCAGGTAATGTTTAGACGGGAATTTTGAATTTTAGTTTCCCCCCAAGAGAGTCGGGTCCATTTCTTGTCAAGTTTAAGAATATCCTTTTGCTAGTTGCAATGCATCGTGAGTGTTCGTCCTCGAGAACGGCCTTGTAAGCATGTTTAATTAATTAACCTGCAAATTGCATTGTTGTTTGGTAATGACTGGATTTGATATTGTGATTAGATATATATTTACCTTGATAATTAATGATTCCCTAATGATGTAGTAGTCTGTATTGTGTAATTTTTGTTACTTTAATGCTTAATTAACTTAGGCTTAATTTGCATTTTACAATTTTTGTTACCCAAAGTTATTTAATAATTGTAATTACAATATGATGAATGAAGCAACTTTTCCAATTTAATATTTTCTATAACAGCTCAGTTGACTTTGTTGTGTACTTGAAGCCAGGTTAGGTTTGTGGGAGAGATATATAGATATATACACAGTATAAGCATGTGTGCAGAACTGGTCATTCTGCCAGGTCAGTGCCGGACCGAGCAAACTCGATACCTGCGGGTTGCGTGTGCCCCACAAGGCTTCGAGTGTCGGCACAAAGTGACGAGTCACGCATTACCTAGTAGGATAAGGTTGGCTGCTGCTGTCGAATGTGAAGCAATGTTTTGTTTAACTCTTGGTGTCGTCTTGCAGCCCAAAAGAATGCTAGCAACCTGTCGCAGGGGCCGCCCCTACACACAGGTAGTCGTGCATGTGGTTCTTGGTTCGACATCCATAACCATGCTTGTGATCTAGTGCAAGACATTCCATATATTGATTCCTGCGGCTTCAATGGTAACGGGCTTGGGTGCCTTTTTGGCTAGCGCATGGGCGTTTCTTAACACCCCCCCTCCCCCTCCCTCCCTCCCGGACTCACCTGACCTGATAGGGGTCACACCTGCCACGATCAGTGACACTCTCTTGTCCCATTGGCTGTAGACTCCAATGTATACTTTGTGTCACCATGTGTGGGGTTCACCGGGCTTTGTTTAGCTAGTTAAGAAAATTCAGACATTAATATTTTTAGTATTTAGTGAAGGAGGCAGTAAAGTTGCCCCCTTGTCACTGGCTCGAGGAACTGGCCACGTCACTGATCTGTGCCACGAGGGGTCACGACCCTGTCAGTCAAAGGTGGGAGTCCTGAATGCATCAAATTTGTTTTTATTATTAAAATTGTTTTTATTATAATTATATTTGTACTTCTATTTCTTTTTATATTGTGTTATTATTCCCCATTTGACAGACCCAATTGCTGGCATTTGTCACGGGCGTGATGTTTATACAAGTGTTTCTCCTGTGTTGTTGTGTTTGCGTTCCTTTCATGTATGCTCAAGTGCTGGTTAAATGACGCTCTTGTTGCCCCTAGCTCCCTTCTCTCTGTTAAACGTAGCCGTCATTACCACAATTGGATTTTTGTATTAGTTATGTAATAATTTTTGTATTAGTTATGTAATAATTTTTGTGGATAAGCGTTAAAGGATTTTGCTTTAGTTAGGCGTAAAATGTTCCTATCTGTAGAGTACGTAGGGTAGAAAATGTGTAGAATATATATAGGGCAGATAATTTTGGTTTGTCACTAATGAACAATTGTAGTCAAAACTCTTAGGGTAATATGTTTCTGCCAATTGGGCTTGGGGGGGATGGAGTTTGCCGAGCTTCGGTGAAAAGTAATTTTTGATTTTAGAAAAATGCCGAATTCCATAATTGAAAAGGAATCCCCTTCCCCTGTGCAAACAACACTATCGCATAGTTTTCTGCCCTAGAGCCACGGCACCGGCTTGACCCCAAATAATGTCTTGCACTGTCTGTTAATCGTAATAATGGTTGAATCCCTCTTGGTTGTCATTAATGACCTAACTGGTGCAGGCTTTGGGTAATAACTGTAGGCTTATCATCGTGATCATCATCATCATGAGGCCGAGAATGTCACAATAATATATCTGTAAATTAATATCACGATCCATGCATGTGAGAAAGGAAATTGACGTCGTCTTGGATGTTTATCAACGTCATCACTTTCTTTTTTCATGTGTGGGGTTTGATCACCATCATCATCATCATGGGTGCTTTATGCTGTGCAAGAATACTCTCTTTAGAGACTTGGGGGCTTGGGAGCTATGGTATTCTTCTTGGGTAACATTAGTTTCCTACCCCTCCTTCTCTGGGCCATTTTAACCCCTGGGCCGTGGTATTGGCATGATCGTATTATCATTAGCTGATGATTTTAAGTTCCTGTAATTAACATCTTTCTTCCCCACTGCTTGTGTTACTCTGGACCACTTTGCAAGATGTTAGAATTAACCTTGTAGTGAGGGCTGGTGACCACGTAACATTAATAACAACTCGCCACCCCTTTCCACTAAGGAAGTTGGCATTTAGTTCTTATGGGGATTTATGTGTGAGTAAGTATTGAGACAGTATGACAGAATCAAACCCACGCACTCGATCACCTCCGGCATACTCACCGTGGAGACCAAACCCACGCGCTCGATCACCTTCGGCATACTCCGTAGAGACCAAACCCACGCGCTCGATCACCTCCGGCATACTCCGTAGAGACCAAACCCACGCGCTCGATCACCTCCGGCATACTCACCGTGGAGACCAAACCCACGCGCTCGATCACCTCCGGCATACTCCGTAGACACTAAACCCATGCGCTTGATCATCTCCGGCATACTCCGTAGACACTAAACCCATGCGCTTGATCATCTCCGGCATACTCCGTAGAGACTAAACCCATGCGCTCTATCACCTCCGGCATACTCCGTAGATCTATCACCTCCGGCATACTCACCGTGGAGACCAAACCCACGCGCTCGATCACCTCTACCATACTCACCGTGGAGACCAAACCCACGCGCTCGATCACCTCCGCCATACTCACCGTGGCGACCAAACCCACGCGCTCGATCACCTCCGGCATACTCACCGTGGAGACCAAACCCACGCGCTCGATCACCTCCGCCATACTCACCGTGGAGACCAAACCCACGCGCTCGATCACCTCCGCCATACTCACCGTGGAGACCAAACCCACGCGCTCGATCACCTCCGCCATACTCACCGTGGAGACCAAACCCACGCGCTCGATCACCTCCGGCATACTCACCGTGGAGACCAAACCCACGCGCTCGATCACCTCCGCCATACTCACCGTGGAGACCAAACCCACGCGCTCGATCACCTCCGCCATACTCACCGTGGAGACCAAACCCACGCGCTCGATCACCTCCGCCATACTCACTGTGGAGACCAAACCCATGCGCTCGATCACCTCCGCCATACTCACAGTGGAGACCAAACCCACGCGCTCGATCACCTCCGCCATACTCACCGTGGAGACCAAACCCACGCGCTCGATCACCTCCGCCATACTCACCGTGGAGACCAAACCCACGCGCTCGATCACCTCCGCCATACTCACCGTGGAGACCAAACCCAGGCACTCGATCATCTCCGATCAGAGACTAAACCCATGCGCTTGATCATCTCCGGCATACTCCGTAGAGACCAAACCCATGCGCTCTATCACCTCCGCATACTCCGTAGATCTATCACCTCCGGCATACTCACCGTGGAGACCAAACCCACGCGCTCGATCACCTCCGCCATACTCACCGTGGAGACCAAACCCACGCGCTCGATCACCTCCGCCATACTCACCGCGGTGATCAGGGACGTGTGTTGACTTTAGTCATACAGCCTCAATATACATTCCTAGATTCGTCACACTATTGTGGTTTTCATTGTGTATATAAGTGTGCTTGAGCCTATATAAGATTTATTTTATACTCTACAAGATCAGTATTTTGGGGCCAATTTCAATTAAGACTATTTTCATAACAGTTGAAAATTTGGCTGTTTCTAAACTTTTATTTCACTGAGTTTTTGCTTACCTTTTCCTAAACTATATGAGATGTATTTATACCTATATTTATCCTTAGCATTTTCTTCTATAATTGTCCCTTGCTGCTAAGTAATGAATATCGGTGTTGTTGCCGTATTGATCAAGAATTTTGTTCCGATTGACTCAATTCTGGTACAAAAATGTGTAAACATAATTCTCGGATTTCAGTGTTTTAAATGACTGCTGTTAGTTGTAAGATTGAACAAAAATTCCTTGTATTGACTAATTTTTGTATGGGCGTTTCATCCTGTTCCTTTAGCTTTGGGAACTCGTACCGGTGAGACCCCAGAGATGTCTAAGAGGCATACTATGTCCCACCCTCCGCCTCATATTCCCGGGCTGGAGGATGCGCCGGGAAAGGATGCTGCCAGTCGTGCCGAGAGTGGCCGAGATACTCCGGGCACCGAGGAACGCACTCCTGAAAAGAAAGATAAGGTTCGTATGAAGAGAGTGCCAGTGATGGTTGTGACTTCTAGTGAATTGTTCACATTAATATTTATGATAAGAGTACAGCCGCTAACTCGGGTATGCTGCAGACTTGTGCTGTATAGATTGTCAGTATTATACTTTATGAACTTACAGGATGAGTGCAGATAAAGCTTTTTGTCTTGCATAAATCCCTCGTGGCTTTGTATACATTTTGTCTTTGACTATTGTGGCACTCCAATAGTTGAGATGAGGTGGTGTGTCAGGGCTGACGCATCAACTCTCACATTCCAGCAACGTGTTAGATACATAGCTCTTAGCTTTAGGGAGCTGGAAATACAATATTCATGCCATACAGCCCATTGTACTTCTTGTATAAAACTAATTTTGCTCGTCTAGTATGATAGATCTAAGCTTTTGTAGATAAAAATAAACAATTGCTGCTATCGAGTCTCTTGTGTTTTGTGCTGGAGGAGTTACAGCAAGCAGTGTAATTTTTGCTTGACTTGTTTTGTGTTTGCTCTTGAGTAAAAAATAAAAAAGATGATGTATGGTGTGGTGTGCAATTTTGGTGTGTACTAACTCTGCTTTGTTGAGTGGGAAAGACTCGTCGGGTCGCGTAATGGAACGGTCATCATCACGTTACTATCAAACTTAAGTTGCACAAGTGGTATGTTGTAGAGAATTTTGGCAAGTGATAAAACTTGTCCAGACACTGACCCAAAACTTGCTTTATTGATTGTCATGCTCGGGAAATTGACTATGTATTAATGTCTTTCATAAAGTTTGTTGTTGATGGGTAGTTATAGATCACCGCTTCATGTACAAGATTTGTTTTTAAGTTAATCGCATTGAGACAGATAATTATTAGTTAATGTAGGAGCAAGTCAGGGTTGGTTATGTAGCCCAGTCCTTTACCACTCCGGCAGAAACGCAGTAGTTTTGAGCAGTCCACGAGACCCTAGGCAACCCACCTAACCTAAGTGAGCCAATAATCATTAGGCCCGTAAAGCATCACTATTGCCACGTGGAGAGAAAAGGCAGCCGAGTCCATGTAACATTTGAGTAAACTGAGAATTCTTGATTGTTACTTTATGGTAAACTCATCAGGATGGAGATGATGATGTAGAGAAGTTGAGAGTAGAATATCGTGTTATGGAGGGAGAATGGATGGTATAATGCAGACTCTGGAGAGCAGGAATAAGGTAGGGAGAGAGGTGGCCGGTGGTGTGTGTGTGCGCGCTGTGTTACTTATTTTATTGTCGTGTTATTGTACATCACATTATCAAAATAATCCATAAGAGGTTCGTCAAGAATTTACATCATTCATTATTGTATACTCTTGTTGCTTTAAATTGACCTAGTTTTTGTTACAAAAGTTTGATATATTTCATAGAAATAGGTCAAGTCTGATAGTTGAAAGAGTACAGGCTTTATTATGCTCTGTGCGCCGTCGTGGTTGTTCTAAGTTTCCGCTTGTAATTACCCAAGTGTAGTTACAGGATGAGAGTTACACTCTTGGTGTGCAGACTTCTCAGTCATATAACACTTTGAAACTACTGCCGGTTTTGGCCTCCACCATCACCTCACTTGTTCCAACTGTCTGCCTCTGTAAAAGAAAACTCTAATATTTTTGTCCAATAGAGTATTGTGTGGTGGTTGTGGGGCCCCTCAGCTAAAGGGGCTTAACTTGAGGGTTTAACGTACAGTATCTTATAGCCCAGCCGGAACAATGCACTACTGTATACAGTTTGGTAGATGACAAACTAGGGAAATAGGTAGATTAATTTTGAGATTAAATAGCTTGCATATCAATCTTAAGAGATTGATAATTGCTCAGTGTATCCAGATGATAATTATTCCGCCGAACCATCCATCGCAACTAGATGGCTGCTAGTGGTCTAATAAGCTGTGTAAATTACTTCAGAATTTTAGAGTACAAAAATAGTCAGTTGGGGACAAGAATGGATTAAGAAATGAGACGGCAATATAAAGGGGTGGAAGTCTCGTCCCTGTACTCCCCAGGGGCTACAGACTGTACCATGGGGGCCAGGGGAGGCAGTGTCCATCCCATATTAAAACCTCTTTATTTCCTTGGATACATGACGTATTGTGATTTGTAAATGGATTTTCGCGTATTGAAATGTGTGTCTCGTCCCAAACTCGAGGGGAACCCCCCCCCCCCAGTGTGAGGTCTTCTGCGTGTTAGAAAGAATTGGTTCGTTACGATAAGGTTGGGAACTGCTACTGTACTTGATCAAAAGTGGAATATATTTTTAACTGGCAGATTTAGCCTCAATGGCAATTGGGATATGAATAGAAAATTGTCTGAACACCTTGTATTATAAAATTGGGAAATTAAATTTATTTAGTGTTACTGAGCCAATTTGGATAGGAATGAAGTTAATTGGATGTTGTGAAGTTAACCGTGATTATAAATAGAAATGGATCTACGAAGTCATTACTTAGAGATTTAAATCCCCAGTTACTTGACTTAGGATTCAATCCCCATTGTTGGTGTTCATATTTTGATATCAATTTGCAAATTGAAAGTGAATATCATATGCTTCCCTCTATCCTCACCCCCCCTCCCCCCCCCCCCCCTAACTTTCCCAGTGATGGTTTTTTATTTTATTTATTTATATACAAGAAGGTACATTGGGTTTGTTAGAATACATAGCATAGTATTTACAGTCTTGTAAAGCCACTAGTACGCGCAGCGTTTTGGGCAGAAATGTTATGTTAGGATTGTCGTAACTCTGATTGGCACCACCGTTGTTTCTCGTGTCTAGTAAGAGCCAAGTGGCTATAGACAAACCATTAAAACCCATCATTAGTTCCAGAACAGGAATTGCTGAAGTCATTATTAGTTCCAAGACGCTAAAGCCAAAACAAATGTCGTAGAATGCATCCAGGAAAAAGCTGAGCAGTTTGACTGCCTCAAGTGTGGTGGAGCACACTAATGACTAACGCACTTTGGGCCAAGTGTGGTAGAGCACACTAATGACTAAGGCACTTTGGGCTATGGAACACACAAACTACTTGTAGCATTTTCATTGCTTTAGTGCACAATATTGCCATTTCATTCTGTTTTAACATAGCAAATTGGAGAGTTGAACAAGAGAGCTGTGTATGATGCGCTAATTGCAAATAAGACATTTGAGCCATATGTGAGGGAGATGTTGCAAGAGTAGGACCCCTGAGCAGCAGAGCTGTGCATGTGGCAGATGTTGCAAATAGGACCCCTGTACCGTGCCTGTAGCAACAAAGCTGTGCATGAGGCAGTGTTACTCAATTTTAGGTGTAAAGGTATTCACAAGGCCGATGTGAGGTGATGGTCCATTGTGAAGGCCTGGCGACGGCTGGCAAGAACGTTCATACTAGCGATGTTGACGTTGATGTGGTTTAGGGCAACGTGTGTGCCGTGTTCTCCTAAACCACCTGACTCTCCTGGGTTACCCGCTCACACGAGGGCTCAAGAGCCAGTGCATGGCTCTTGTATGGATGATTTGTCACTACTCTTTACAACTTTCATTTGTAATGCAACACTATTAGAATACATCTCTCTGAAGGGTCTCTCTTCAATGGTTTCTTGGTGGCAGGTGGCCAGTGTATGCCTATGTAAATTTACTAGTGAAATATGAATTAGGAATGGAACGACTAACTTTGCCATCTGATTCGTCACACTTTCCTCATTTTGCAACATTTTATTATTAGTTTCATATCACATTTGGAAAGACCTTACTAAAAAAATGGCTTGTTTGATTTTTCATAGAATCACTTCCATTGATTTTGTTTGTTAACCTGCGGCTGTGTGATGCGGTAGGTGGCACTGGTCTGTCCATTGCTAAACTAGCAGTTGCTAGGTAGGTTTAGTAACGTGATGATTCACGGGCCCGAGATGCATGCCTGACTCGACAACGACGAGCTGGGAGTCGCACTCGTTGATTGGGCGAGTCTGTCGTGCTGCCTGTCTACCACACTAACCTGGCATGTTTCCCTTCCCTCTTCCGTCCATTCCCGGTCATCACACTCCTCCCGTCCTTTATCTGCATCCTATTCCTCTCCTGCTGACCCTCCTCCCATCGCTCTCTGCTCCTCTTAACTTCGAAAATCCTTCATTGTGTTCCTTTGACCAATGTCCTCAAATGTGCATTTTTCTTACCTTTCATCTGTTTCAATCCTTTCATCTTGATCTTTTGTTTTTCTTGGAATCTCTTTTGTCTTTGGTTTATTTATCCGATCCTGTATCATATGGGATGCTATTTCCTTTGTTCAATTCTTTTATTAAATTTTCTGCTATTGCTTTTGCGTATTTACACACACACTCTCTTTCACTTCATATCTTGGCACATTATCATCCTTAATCCTCCTCAACTTCATCTTGTTCTCTCTCTCTCTCTCCTCTTTGTTATCCATTTGCTTTTATTCCTCCTTTAACTTTTCTTATTATCCCTCATTATTCTACTAATGACTTCCCTTTCCTTTCTTCGTTATTTTTTCAAATATTTCTTTCATGGTTACTTCCTCCACCTTCACCACACTTGATTTCTTCCTTCTGATCCTGATCCTGCCCTGATCCTGCCCTGATCCTGCCCTGATCCTGCCTCCTGCTTCCCCCCGACCCTTCCCGGATGGCTTGTGGTGTGCGTGGAGCAGAGGAGAACCGGCCGGAGCAGCGGGGCATCGTCCTCGCAGAGTTCCGTCAGTTCCGAGGAGGGGAACTTTGAGCCGCCCACCGGAGACAAGTCCAAGGTATGAAAGGCCTCGTGTTTCTCCGGCTCTCTTGTTAGTCTCGACGTCAGTTTGACCGTTGCACGAACCTTAAGTTGGTGCTAGCTGAATGGCCACCATTTTTTGTTTTTGTTTGAGGTGGTTCTGTGAGAGGGATGGTTTTGCTTTAAGGGGGCTTCATACTGTAATGGAATGAGATAATTGAGGCTTTCTTGAGAAAACAGGGAAATTTGTCAAAGGATTCCTTATAATCTGAGTGGCATCCAAATTCAAGCAATATGTATTTATATATATATATGTATATATTGCACAGTAAAATATATATATATATTAAATCTATTAAATAAATGTAGTAGGTGCATGGGTAAGAATAATGATAAAGTAAATAAGTTTGGTTAAACTGTGGCGGAGTAAAAGGTTGACTCAGGGTTCCCGGGCTCCAGACGGATCCTCTAAATATTGGAGTCATTTTGATCTTGAGAGGTAAAGAGAGAGAGAAAAACAACTTTGAAGGGAAAATAAAACCCTAACTTGGGAATGGTTGCATGCTCTGAGGACCTGTCAGAAAAGGACTCTCCTCCCTCCTAACCCTCCCACCTGTGTCCCACCCGTGTGTCCCACCTGTTACTGGGTGTAATGGGAAGGATGAGGCGTCCACCCAAGACCTGAACTACCGAGGTGCTCGACAGGTTGGCCGCTCCTGCCCCTCCTCATGCTGCATGCTTTCCTCGTTGTGCATGTCTTCATCCTCTTACTCTTTGTCTGCCTAACACTTAGGTTTTGCATGCTTTTCTGCATGTCTAACTCTGTATCAGTAGTTTATATATACATACATAGTGTTCATGCTTTATAGGACTTGTACATTAGTCCTGAGAAATGCATAGGCCTAAATTATTTGGGCCTATGTTTCTGCCTTCAGCTCTGTACTGTTACATTATGTTGGAATTGTGGTCCCCGTCAGTGTTATTTGTGGTGGTGGGAGGAAGAGACGGAGGCGAGGTGTGCTTGCGGGGGTTGAGCTCTGGCTCTTTGGTCCCGTCTCTCAACCGTCAATCAACTGGTGTACAGGTTCCTGAGCCTACTGGACTCTATCATATCTACACTTGAAACTGTGTATGGAGTCAGCCTCCACCACATCACTGCCTAATGCATTCCATCTGTTAACTACTCCCACACTGTCAGAAAAATTGATTGTGCATAACATAATTTTGTGTGCATTCATTTGTTGAGTGCACAAAGACATGCACAGCTAAGGACTTGAAAATAAAGTTCTATGTTACATTTTTCTCCTAAGTGCAGGGAGAATATCCCCTATCTTGAGGTTATATTGAGATGATTTCAGGGCTTAGCGTCCCCGCGGCCCGTCCTTGACCAGACCGTAAAGCAGCCCCATAGCAGCTGTCTAACTCCCAGGTTATTATTTACTGTTAGGTGAACAGGTGCATCATCGTAAAAGAAACTGCCCATTTGTTTCTGCCTCTACTGGGGATTGAACTCGGAACCTCAGGACTACGAATCCGAAGCTCTGTCCACTCAGCTGTCATGCCCCCTGACAGCTGTATTGATACCCCCCCCCCTAACAGTATTGCATTTGCATATACAGTACAGTATAACTGGAGCATACCTGGAAAGAGTTCTGGAAGTTCTAATACTCCTTGAGCCCGGCCTGAACTGTGACAACTTGGTCCAACAGGCTGTTGCGTGGAGCAGTCCGCAGGTCCACTATAACCTGGTTGGTCTGGCACTTCTTGCAAGGACTTACCTAAATGTTTCTTGAAGACATCCACCTTTGTTCTGGCAATATTTCTAATGCTTGCTGGGAGTGTATTGAAGAACCATGGACCTCTGATGTTCAGTGTTCTCCGATTGTACCTGTGGCACCTCTTCTCCTCATTGGTTCTATTCTGCATTTCCTCATATTTCTTTTGCTCCAGTATGTTGTTATTCTACTGTGCAAACTGTTTTTCATATACAGTAATATATGTATTAAGTACTGTTTTGTGTGTGCATTACTGTATTTGTGTATACAGGACCATTTGTGTATACAGGACTGACACCCTTTTGTATAGGAGTATTGTATTTGTACTCTTGAGAGTATATGGTCACCGTATCAACCTACCACACTACTGATGACATGCATTCAGCTTGGAGTCTTATGGGAGAGGTGGACAGGCCTCTGGTACGTGTTTGATTCTGAGCCGTGTCATCCTGAGAACGTCTTGGCTCCTCTTCCTTTGACAGTGCCGTTTCTCTTCCCCCCCCCCCTTTTATTTTTCTCCGGTTTATTTAAACTGGAGATATATAAAATATAAACCTTCTATTTAAGGTTTAGATTTTTGCAGATTGTTCGTGTAAGAAAGAATGTGTTGTTACATGATGTTATGGCTTTGAGAATGAAGTCCCGGAAAGCCTCTGTTGGAAATTGCATCCTGTTAATATGGTAATTCTTTTCAAGATCAGTTGTCATGATATTGGAAAAGTGTGTTCATAATTGTATCCTTAATACACAAGAAAATCACAACGATGTGATCTATTGTGATTTCCTTGTGTATTTGAAGGGAGCGTATGGTGGAAAATGCCATTATGCACATCAGAGTACAGTACATGCGGGCTATTTCTAAAAGTTTGCTGGGCACCAACTTGGTGTCTCCAGAATTGGTGGTGGTTTCAGTAGGGTCGTAGCTTTTGCATGTTGTGGTCCAGGGGTATGGCTGGGGTTTACGAGGTTGCTGCTTCAATCCCTCACTGCTCCAATGATTTATCTTTAATAAGGCTGAATGTTTTACTATCCGGTTTTATGTATGTTGAGTTATTTTGTATTAATATGTTTGCTTTATGCCTCCTTGGTTTCATTTTTGGTTGTTTTTCTTGATGTTCCTTTGTGTCGATGAAATAAATCTGATATTATTTTTGGTGAGCTGTGGTTGTGTAGAGGCCTATGGTGGAGCTATACCTATGGCAGTATAGCCACCGTGACGTCCAAGATGTTACGGCGGTGTACCAGCTTGAGGTAATTACTCGTACCGAGACCTTCGCACCATAGCCACCAGACTAAGCACTCATCCCAGGCAATCTCACAACATAAACTTTAATTCCACATTAAAATGTTTGAACCCGACTGGGCCGGGTAGTCGGGCGGTTGTTGGGGTACACACAACCTCTCGCCGCAGAGTGCAGTGCATGCCAGGGTGTGAAAGTGTGACGTTGGTTACTTCATGTTTAGGAAGACTTCTGGCATAATGTTTGTTACCTGAGCACAGATCTTTGTGTAAAGTAGTGTCATAAGTACAGTACTGTATTTTGTCCATGCCATCAGCTGTTTTAACTATTTGTTTTATGTCTTTGAATTGCTTAATTTGTTACAAAGTATTTTGCCTGTGTAGCTAAGCCAGTTAGTGGTATTGTGTATATATTATTATATTCCCTCCACTTGCAAACATTTAATATTACTGTGTGTGCAGAGACCGGTAGGCGGTGTGGCTGTGCTCCCAATGGCTGACCTCATGAAGGCCACAAAGAAACGTGCCGAAAAGTTGGCCCTCGCAGAGGAGGAGGCCGCCGCCGCCGCTGCTGCCGCTGCAAAGGTAAGCATTACCCATGCATCTTGTTCCTTTATTCATCGGATGGTTTCGTGGCTTGGTAAGGTAAGCGCTGTTGTTTTGTATGTGGCCCACTCCTCTAGGTACAATGGGCGGAGGTGCTAGACCTGTTTATGTACTAACACGGGCCGGTAGGTAGAACAGTAGTGAGGTTAATACGCTCGTGTCTTTATGGCGTGTGGACGCTTAGTTTAACTCGTACCTCAATAGAAAGAGAAATATTCGGTGCAACACCATAATGTGACTGGCATTTGCAGGTAATTAGTCACAATAATATGACTGGACATTAATATCCATTGCACATTTGTGGGATGGGTATTGATAACTTGTTCTAGCTTTATAAGAGCAATAACTGTTCAACTTGTAATTAGAAATAAAAACAACTTTTTTATTCATAATTATTAATGTTTCTCATTGGTGCATTTTGTGGGAAGCTGCTTACCAGCCTTAGAGAGATCTCGTGTCCCCAGTACTGTAATTCAAGATAGTCTTGCAAGCTCATTATTGAGCATGTTAAGCCAAGAGAAACAATTTGAATGTCAATCTGAGAAGATCTATCGCATTGTGGTAGGGGGAGCATGATATGTTTAACGTCACAAGCAGTTAGTTGTTGAAATATTTGCTCTTTGAATAGCCTGTGTTAATGTTCTGTCACACCACTGTTTTCTCCGTTACTTTACTCTTTAGTATATACAGTTTGTGTGTGTGCGCATGTGTGTGTATATCTGCTGGAAAGGGTGTGTGCACCATTTCCCTGTTAGATAACTGAGCAATCTTTTACTGTGGGTATGGTCATGTTATTCTCATGTGCTTCAGTGTCGCTTCCACATCGTTGTGGACGTGTTAACTAGCCATATAAACTTGCACACTTTCTTGCTCGTTATCTCCTGACTTCAATATTTCTCGTACAATGTGTACTGGGCTATTTGCATTATAGTAGCGTACAGTATTTGTACGCCGTGACATGCCGTGATCTTTACACACAGAGATCACACTAACGTGATGCATCAAATGAACAAATCCACAAGGGCCGTGACGAGGATTCGAACCTGCGTCCGGGAGCATCCTCGTCACGGCCCTTGTGGATTTGTTCATTTGATGCATCACGTTAGTGTGATCTGTGTGTGTAATGATGTAAGGGCGAAGAGGGAGAATGGCCTATTGACATAGCTCGAGTGCAGGGGGGAGTTGTGTAAAACCCTGGTTTGTGACTCGGAGAGGCTGCGGGATCCAGTAAGTTCAGTAGAACTTTGGTTTCAACTCTTTTTAACCCTGTCGTAGCTCAGTTGATTAAGGCCGCGTCTGGGATGCTCCCGGACGCAGGTTCGAATCCTCGTCACGGCCCTTGTGGATTTGTTCCATGCTCTTCCCCGGGGAGCCTGGCCTCAGGCCGGGCTCAGGGAGTAGAAGAACTCCCGTGATACTCTCTCCATGTGCTCGTGCCCCTATTCTTCCCTCTCTTCCCATAACTATCCTCCCACTTCTGTAATTGTTTTGCTTCATTCCAAATTTTCTCGTTCTTTTTTTCTAAATCGAGCTCTCTAATTTTAATAATGAAAATGTACCTGTTTTCTTTTTTTTTTTTTTTTTTTTTTTGAGATATATACAAGAGTTGTTACATGGTTGTACAGCCACTAGTACGCGTAGCGTTTCGGGCAAATCCTTAATCCTATGGTCCCTGGAATACGATCCCCTGCCGCGAAGAATCGTTTTTTCATCCAAGTACAGTACACATTTTACTGTTGCGTTAAACAGAGGCTACAGTTAAGGAATTGCACCCAGTAAATCCTCCCCGGCCAGGATACGAACCCATGACATAGCGCTCGCGGAACGCCAGGCGAGTGTCTTACCACTACACCACGGAGACTGCATTGGCATGTTACATCCTGCTTGTCAGTGATATTAACTAGTCTGTCGTGTGTGCCCCACAAAATCCAACCGAGGCTTGCTCCCCGGGAGCGTGTTTTTTCTTACACTCGCCTGGTTATGTCTGGGGAGTGAGATCCAGCTCTTGAGCTTATAGCTGTATTTTCATATATTAATCTGAAGTTTATTGACAATTTTGTGTGTGCGCCCCCGTCTGTGAGCATGTATGTATTTGCAAACGTGTATTCATGTGTATGCATGTGTTTGTGTGCGCGTTCACACACACACGCCTGTATATAACAATATAAAATTAGCGTTAAATATTAAAATAGTTGACATTCAAACGGCAACTGGCTTCACAAACATATTAACCTTCGAGAATATTGACCTGGGTTCACTACTGTTATTATGCTTACAATATTCATGACTAGATCACTTAAAATTAGTCCCCTTTCTTTTCTGTATTGAGAAAGCATGTCTTGTGTTTTATGTTCATTAATATAGAGTTTTGTTAGAGATATTTAGCTTGGTGCAGCATGCTCTGACGCATGGCAAGTGGAGGCAAGTGTCTAAGCCTGCCCCCAACCCCCTTCTCCTCAAGCAATGACAAATTGTGTGGTTGTCGTCGTAATTGGTAGGGCTTGTTTACATAATTCACCTGTCTGTTGGCCAGTCAGAAATTTTCGTGAAGTTGAGGGTAGAATGAATTGGGCAGTTAGAGGTTAATGTATGAAGCAAATTGGGAAGATGAGAGGCTAGAGGGCTCTACATATGGGGTATTAAATTGTACAGTATTAAATTGGGTAAAAGGGTAGGGGTTCAGTTCCACTGTCTTATATGAAAGATTTCCTCACAGTATTAGCCTCTGAATTAGAAATGCTGGTCTGTGATAAGCACGAAAAATTCAATCAGCCAAATCAATTGCCATTGATTTAGGGATGAAAATGTTGTGCAAAGATGATTATCTTGAGATTATCTTGAGATGATTTTGGGGCTTAGCGTATGGCCCGGTCCTTGACCAGGCCTCCTTTTTGTTACCCCCTGAGAGCAGCCCATAGCAGCTGACTAACTCCCAGGTCCCTATTCACTGCTAGGTGAACAGGGCATCAGGATGAAAGAAATGTTTTGCCCATTTGTCTCCGCCTCCACTGGGGATTGAACCTGGAACCTCAGAACTACGAATCTGAAGCGCTGTTCACTCAGCTGTCAGGCGCCCTGATGATGCGTACACAAATCAATGAATAATAAGAATGAGGGAGTGTCTTAAATTAAGATGTTTTGGTTAGATTGAATAAATAGATGAGAGTAGAATGGCTGATTATTTGAGGGTAGGAGAACAAGAGGAAGGTACAAAATGTGGACGAGTTGGATGCAGTTGTCCTTTATTCCTACATTCTTGTGTATCAACGAGAAAGACAGATTGCGTGTGAAAATTACTCAATAAATAGTATGGTAAAATTGGGCGTTGTGATAATGATCAGTTATGTGGGCCTTATTCATATGCTTCAAAGGCAGCCCTTAGCATACATTACGTATTTTTCTAATATTTTTCTCAAAGTATGGCGACTGGCCTAAGTACTGACTGGGTGGGTAAACCTGCACAGTTGTATGATTCTGTAACAAATGCGTCCAAATACAAACACATTCTCAAAAGTACCTGTACTGAAGAATGGTCGAAATGTCGGGAAGATAAATAATAATGCGGTTGACACGTCCCCAAAACCCCTGGCGGTATAAATGCTGTTAATGAAGAGTGCGCATGTGTCTTAACTGCCGCTCGAAGGAAGACTAATAGGCAAAATGTGTGTTGATTTACAGCAGGTGTTCGAACACAAGCAGAGTTAAAACTGGGCCGAGACAATGAGAACCACACAATATTGTTTGTTGTTATTGTCCAGTTGGCGGTGGGAGCACATAGCATGTCTCGGTGCCTGCCTCCTCGGCCGTCTGTGGCACCAATATCAAGGATGTCATTGTTATGCTAGTGTTTTGAAGGATGTCATTTGACTAGATAGTCATTTTCAGGATGTATTTTTGCTAGAATGTATTTTGTTTTGTATTTTGTTTACTAGTGCATTGCATGAATTTATGTTTTTGTTGTGTGTAGAGCGGTGCTCCTCCATCCTCTACCCCTCCCCCTGGATACAAGACGCTGGAGGGACGGAAGTCGAGCTCGGAGGCTCCGGAGGATGCAAGAGGCGCAGACCCTCTAGTGAAGACCCATCGCACAGTCTTCCAAGATCCCAGCGTCGACGACTCTGAACCGGGGTCTCCGCCGTTCACGCGGCAGTATTCTTACGAGGAGCTAGAGAATGAGCCTCGCCGGCCATACAGCCCCACAACCCACGGCTTCAAATACGACAAAGCTGGAGGACGCGGAGAGGATGGCTCGGCAGGGCCTCGGGGAAGCGAGAAGAGAAGAGCTCAAGCCCAGGCGTTCAATTACGCCCCGGGGGAGGACTCGAAGCTGGTCGAAACGGCGGAAAAGCGGAAGACCAGCTTGAAGGACACGGGCGAAGGTAAACAAGGGGAACTGATGTTAGAAGCCAAGCATGGAAAGGGATTACAAGGGTCACCCAAGGGTGTTGAAGGCCAGGCTGCTCCGGCATCCTCCCCCGACAACACACTTCCAGAGACCTCCGTCGACGACAGCTTCCTCAACACGTCGGCCGACTCGACTGGTATCTTGGCAGGATTTGTGGCAGGAAAGAAGGGAAAGAAGGATAAGAAAGAGAAGGTGAAAAAGGATAAAGACAAGAAGGAAAAGGACAAAAAGGAAAAAGACAAGAAGGGTAAAGATAAGAAAGAAAAGGATAAGAAAAAAGAGAAAGAGAAAAAGGAGAAGGCAAAAGATAAGGCAAAGAAAGACAAACAAAAAGAGAAAGGTAAAAAGAAGGGGAGGTTTGGGATTTTTGGCTCTCGGGATCGCAAGGACTCTACCAGTAGCAGCAGCAGCAGCAGTAGCAGTAGTTCGAGTGACAGCTCCGATGACAGTTCTGACGAGAGTGTCGTCATTGAGAACCGTGAAGGAACCGAGCCTAAGGACATCGATCAGACCATGTCGGCCACTGAGAGCTCTTATGCTGCAGACCGTTCCGACATTTCACTAATAATTAATCCCGGGGCTACCAGCGAGCCTTCGTTCACTGCTGACCATTCCTCCTCTGACATTGTTATAAACCCGGCACTCGGCGCGTCGTTGGCAGCAGAGGCCGGCGACGGCAGCGCCGATGGCTCCACAATGCCGAAAATCATAAAGACCACGACCAAGAAAACTTTCATCCAAGATGCCGAGGGTATTTCCGAAGACACGGTGCAGAGAGTAGAAGACTTCGCCACGGGACAGGTTGAACTTAGCACACAAAGTCAGAAGGTAGGAGTCTTTTTGTTGTTTACATAATGTTTGCTGTCAGTTTCTATCTGGCTTCTTCCCTGTGTGAGTGCTAGTGGGCTGTGCTGTAGACTGGCTTGTAGAGTGCAGGCCTTGTGCACTCATGTTAGCATGTTTGGAGTGACTGTCACTGCTACATTTTAGCAGGTTGTTAAATAGTGTAATATACAATTCTGCTATCTTAATGAATGGTGTATAGTTGCTAAACTTAATTCAAATATGATATAGCCACAAGAATCTTTTTGGAGCAATGTGATGGAATTAAACTAGTGTCGTGGGTTATCTTTAATGTAATGCAGGCAAGTGGATAATGCGTGCATCTGGGAAGACCCGAGATGTGTCTACAATTCCATTGCTTTTCACTAAAGTATTTTCTAGTATATTAGCACTTGTATTAAAGTTTAGTAACCGAGTACAATATGTCTTGTGTAATAAGTTCAATACAAAGAAATATATTACAGATTACAGTAAAACCTTTACACTTGTTCCTTTCTTGTGTAAGTGGCTGGCTACAGTTGAGTGGAGTAAGTAGCTTGTGGACTTACTCTTGACGTGTCTCACACATAACACTGACTTTAACTTGCCCTCATAGTATCATGACCATATAATAGTTTGCTAAAGTCTTATTACTCCTTGAAAATCCACCAATTTGAATTGATGAAGTCGATCCATTAACACACAGTCAGCTACAAGAGTTATTTTGTAATGAGAAACAAGCGCCCATGCTAAGTAAGAGTAAAAGTTGCCCCGCTTTAGAAGTGTTGACGTGTGCGTCCTTGACGGTGTTTGTTGTGATGCCCGGTTCACACACCTCTGCACTCCATCCACATCAAACACAATTGTTGTTATTATTGAGCTTTTAGATTGCATGTTCGTCGACTTGACTTGTCGTGCATTGGTGGGTTACAGGCCGAACACAGAGAGGCCGACGGCAGAGAGAAGCCTCACGTAATGGCCACCACCGTCACCACCATCACTGCCCAGTCTGTCGAGGACAAGAGCACCAAGGCGAGAACACAACAGGTATGAGCGTCTGGGCACGGTAGTGCACCCTCTTCACAGTCTCTCTCTCTCTTAGAATCATCACACATTCTTAACAAATAGGCTTTTATATAAGAGAATCTTAGGAATTTGTATTTAAGTACTAGTAAAAAACTTTATAAGTATGGTATTTGCTGTCATATATGACATCAAATTTACCTGGATATTTTGTGGCTCAAAAAATTTAATTTGGTACATCTGATCATACATTTATTGAAAGTGATGTTAAAAAGGTTTTGTAAGGAAAAACTTAAGAGTTTGTGTACGTAAATAATGTTCCATACATATTCTGTGGATGGCTGACCAAAAACATATATCCTATCTACTGAAAAATTCTATACAAAATGTATCAAGTGCCAACATATGTCAAAATATATATTTATTTTGGGCCAAAATGTGTATAACATGCAGCAGCACAGGAGATTTGTGCAGATAATGAACATAATGTTAGTACAGTACTACTTTCAATCTTGGTGAATAGTTTTGTAGTGGTGCAGAAGCATCATATTGCATCCTTAGTAGTGTAGTGTGAGGTGAGAGGAGTTGTAGTACTGGTAACTTGTTGTTTACAGATGGAGGAGAAGACCTTCACAGCGACCACCAAGACCACGGGGACGACTCAGGAGCAAACTGTGGTCACGCAGGAGGTGAAGAAGCAGACGCGTTCCATCGCGCCGGAGCACGCTGAACATCTTGCGTCCGCACAGGTGAGACTTGTGAGAGGAGACGAGGGGCTTCGTTGTGTCAAGTTTGTCCGCTCCCGTGTGCAAATTTACAAAACTGTAACCTGAATGGCCTTAAAGATGTTCTATTGCCTTTTTGTCAGTTTTTATTTTGCATGTGAATTTGAAATAGTGTTAGATTATACTGGAATGTTAGCACAGTACAAATTCCCAATAGTTAATGTTCGCTTGCCATAAGGCATCTTACGGAATCCTTTATTTGCAGTAAAGCACGTCTTGATATAATTTGTTTTGGCGTTGCTAATGTACTTTATGTTACCGAAGAGTAAGTCGGGACACTGATGGTGCTCTGGGAGTCTCATAATTATATTTAAATATGGAAAGATAATTAAACACTAGGGAGAACTTTTATTCAGTTGCCCATGAATTATAACATTTGTTGACAAGTTGATTGCTTGACAGAAGGACCATGCTAGAGGGCTTGTCACCATATAACAGACAAGAAGTCCATGGCAAAACCTTACATTTAAGATGAGGGGAGAGAGATGTAGGGAAATATTTATGGGGAGGATTCTTGTGATAATGTCTACTAGGGAAGCTGCTTACAGGTGGCCTAAGACAGACAACATAATGACGCTAGTGTGTGGGTGAATAGACACTTGGCAAGGCAAGACTACTTACCTGGTTGATGGGGTTCTGGGAGTTGGTCTACTGCCCAAGCCCGGCCCGAGGCCAGGCTTGACTTGTGAGAGTTTGGTCCACCAGGCTGTTGCTTGGAGCGGCCCGCAGGCCCTTGTTGCCTCTTGGCATATTCTGTATTCTACCAACATTATGAGGATTGGTTTATCATTAAGTTGAGTGTGACCCCAGGCCAGGCTTGGAAGTAGCAGAACAACCCTCTCTAGGGGAACTCCAGGTCATTATGTAAATGCCTCTGGCATTCTTATATTTAAATGTACATCAGTAATTTAAACAAATTTAAGGGGCCTGAAGGCTCAGTGGACAGCAGTCAGGATTCCTTGTCCTGAGGGTCTGGGTTCGATCCCCGGCGAAGACAAACAAATGGGCAGTTTTTTCACCCTGGTGCTCCTGTTCACCTAGCAGTAAATAGGTGCCTGGGAGTTAGACAGCTGCTATGGACTGCTTCCTGGGGATGTGTGTGTGAAAATTAGGATTAAGGACTTGCCCTAAATGCTATTTGTGCTAGTGGCTGTACAGCAATGTAACAACTCTTGTATATACGTTTAAATAAAAAAAAAATGAAAAGAATTGATAGAATGCTTTGCAATAGTTTCCAAGTTCGCTAATTCAGTAGGACGAGTGGTGCTCACAGACCCCAGAGCCAGTCAGTATCATGCCGAGAGCTTGGAGACATTAATGTCCCATTTATTCATGAACGGTAGCATAAAGAATGTTAACTTTTAGAATTAGCTTCTTTAAAAACTGCTTCCTTAAGAACCCAGTCACAAGTGTGTTAAACAAAGCTTTGGCAGTCATGTTTAGCTGTACATTCTGCCTTAACCCAGTACCCGCATGTCATTACCATATTAACCCTTCCCTGTCCATCCTCTTCCCCCTCTGTCCTGTGCCCTAAGGGTCAGGGAGGCCACACCCCCTCGTACTACCCTCAAGGTCAGGGGGGAGGCCACACCCCCTCGTACTACCCTCAAGTCGGGTATGCTGGCCACACTCGTCCTCGCACAATCTCCAGCGGAAGCGACGACTCCGGCACGTCGGTCGATCCCTTGGATTCCGATTACGATCTGGTGAACAAGGTCAGTATGCAGCGTGGGCTTGTTGTCGTGTTGATATTTGACCATTCTGTTGTGTACCTTTAATATTGCAGTGATGCGAAGACAGTAAAGTTTACATCATAATGTATTGTCTTAGCATTAGAGGTGTTTATACTTTATTACAACTTCTGATTGGACGACTTAAGATGAACCCATATTTTACAAGTATATAGGACTAGGTTAATATATATCGCACAGGGCTAATATATAGGATGGTAAATACTGTATATATTGGATAGGGAAAATACAGAGGACTGTAAATACAGTATATGGAACAGGGAAAATATATATACACAGTATAGGACAATGCAACTATATAGGATGGTAAATATATAGGCCTGGGTAACTATATAGGACTGGTAGTAGAGTGTTGTAAAGCCTCTATTGAGCCAGGGTCTTCACCATGTTAATGAATGACTTGATATTAGTCACATTGCAAGTGACAGAGAATCATGTGTTGATGTTTATCTAAGTCTGCCATTAAGGGGAGCGAGAACTGGCTCTTGTGCCCCCACCATATTGTTGTCTTGCGTAGGGTATTGTTCCTCTGTGATGTTTTAGCCCACTTTTTGTTTATGGCTTGTGACGGTACTAATTGAGAGGAATATATTGGGAATAATTATTTGGGGAGGAGGGATGTCATCTCCATACATGGATTATAATGTAAATTTGATAAATTCGCACTGGAGAGAACATTTAATCTGGTTACTGTCTGATGCGGTATTTCAGATGTCTGGGTTATCATGTTAATCCTGCTAATCAGAGATCTGATGATGATCACAGAGATTTGACAAGATTATACAGTATTTGCAATATTTGAATTGGACTGTTTCCATGTAACAAAATATTCCGAAATACGTCATGTCTCAGGTGCGTACAAATACATCTCGTGCGTTGCGAGGGCCTAGAAATAATGTTTGTTTGAGTGGGAATTGACTGTATGACAAGACAGTGTTGGGAAGGCATCATAATATTAGATTTGGGGTTCAATTGCTGGTCCCAGAAACTGGAGCTTTTTCCTAACACTCACAGGTAACTAGGGTGACTGTATGTAACACACAATAGTAGTCTAGTGTAATAATGTATATCCCAGACGTAGACTCCGATCTGGAGCCGTTTACTATTTTTTAATTAATTGGGAACTGTTTGTTATTTTTTAATTATACTTTTAATTTGGCCATGTTTTTTCCAGGCCTTTGATTTTTGTTTAAATTGTTAGTGCTTTTTTTTGCAAGTGGTGTAAAGGTGGTGATCTCTCCACAGGATGGCATTGTGCCAACTGAAGCCCAGATGTTTGATGGCAGTGGCGTTTACACGACGATGAGCGTCGAAGCTCCGCCCCTAGTGGAGACCGAGTCCCGAAAGGTTGGTTGGTGGAGGTGATGGCACCTGCTCTCCCTCCAAGGTCTACTGTGCCAAGGCACTGAGTATCTGGTCATAGTACCAGCCAAAACAGGCCACTATGATTCATATTTAATTTTGCTTGCATTTGCGGTGTTGACTGACTCGGACACGCAAATTTGTTTCTTAGATGCATGTGCATTGTGCATGAGAATATTGTGTTTTTGTAACTGAGAAGCTCTCAGGGTTAGAATGTTGAGAGCCGGTGTGACAGTCTTGCCGTGTGCACGGGTTCACACGGCAAGTTTATACCCATTACATCCCAAGTTATATTGATAGTAATGTGTCATGTCTTTCACTTACTGTGTTGCTGAAATTAAAAATGTAAATTTGCAGTCATTGTTGATGTATTTTCTCATAATTGCTGACATTGTAGTTTTATTTTTATATTGGCATGAATATACCCATATTACCCCATTTGTACTTATACATACATGCATGTATTGGTGCGTGTGCATGTGTACACACACACACACGACACACACTCACACACACACACACACTCACACACACACACACACACACACACACACACACACACACACACACACACACACACACACACACACACACACACACACACACACACACACACACTCACACACACACTCACACTCACACACACACTCACACACTCACGACACACACACACACTCACACACATACACACACACACACACACACACACACACACTCACACACACACACACACACACACACACTCACACAATCACATACACATGAGCCTTCACATTTTGTACTTCTCTTACCAGTTTTCCATGCACAGTACTACTCTCTCTTTCAAGGAAAGAAATATAACAATGTTCCCACCATTTTTGGCTCACTAATTTTGTATATTAACAACATTGCCAGTGATGTCTACACTATGAATCATTCAAATGTATTGGATTTCACTTTTTTGTCAGGTATCCGTATTGGGCGACTTGAACATCGACGACAGTGCCGTGGTGGTGAGCTCGCAGTCCATCTCCTCGAGAACCCGCACGGTCGAGACCACCACTGTACGTGTCCCGTCCTGTGCCGTCGGGGTAGTTTCCCCTCGTGGCTTGGATCACTGGGTCATAGATTATAGCAGCCCAGCCCACAATGTTTATTCCAGCTCTCCTCCTCCTGTTGTTGTCTCCCAGGAAGGTTCATCTCTGGGTGACCAATTCTCTCTGCCTCTCTCCATCCTTTCCTGGGGAGATGTAGCTATTCCTGACCCGTCCTCAGATTTTATTCTTTGCGAGAGAGAGACCGTCGCAAGCCAGAATGTACGTGAACTGTCTGCTGCTCTAATTCCTTCCCGAGAAGATGTGGTCACAAATAGCTGCACCCCAACTCACATGGCTACCAGTTCATATTCTTCACATTTTCCTATTCTTTCCCAGGTAGTTTTACCTGTTAGCAACGTGTCTCAGGCCAATGGTCATTTCATAGCTGACAGGGATGTCATTTTTGAAAGCGGTGATATTAGCGCTGAATCTTGCATCCATACTAATTATTTGCCAGATATGGGGGCCTTTCAGCATACCCGAGCATCGGATTCTATAGTGCAGTCTCGTGCTTGCCAAGCTGTCACACAAGGATTCTTCCCAGAGACTTGCACAGCTTCTCATGGCACAGAGCATAGTTCCCAAAAATGTTGGCCAAAAGATGTCACAGATGCTAGTAGCTGCATAGAGTCGCAAAATTATATTTTGCCCGACACTTCACTTTACCAAGAATCCGCATTGCCGAGGCAGAGAGACAATCGGTCGTGCCTCGCTGGTTTTCTTCCCCATGTTCCTGTCGTATCTTCAGTGCAGAGAGAGGCTACAGCCTGTTCATTGTCAAGTAAAACAGGAAACTTGGTTTTTGCTTCACATGCACAAGTAGAACCTGCTAAAACCATTTTGAAAAACACAGCAGCAGCTCATAGTTGTTCCTCTACCCCTTCTGGCTTGAGCAACATTAACCAACTCCACACACTTTTAGATGATGTATCAATGTACACTATTCCTCCGTGCAGATCATCCGTGTGTACGAGTACTTCAACTCGATCACCCTCTTCGTTTCTAGACGTTCTAGCATGTAATTCCTCAGCCTCCATAATGTTTCCTTCCATCTTGCCACCACCTTCAATACAAGCACATTATGTCTCGACCTCCATAAGTCTCTTGTGTGACGTTCCACCTCCGCCCACGTCCTCTTATTCCTTGACTGCCCAGGTCCCGGTAGCTGCATCTTTAGATATTTCTGATTGGACTTCACTGTGCAGAACACCTGGTAGTGGACCAATATCCCATTGTGTTCCATCTCAAGTGTCATTACCTGTTAAAACGGGTCACAGTCTTGAGTACTCGTGCAGTCGTCAACTTTCTTCATACTCGGAAGCTCACGTTCAACCCAGTTCCCCTCCCCAGCTGCTATCCTCTAGTAGTGGCACTCTTAAATATTCTACGACGTTAGATCCTAGACCCACAGTGGTGGGTGCCACTGGCCAAAACTCTGTGATATCTTGTACAAAGCTTCCTCAAGTGCATCCATCTCTGCCAGTTTTGCCTAGTGTGGTAGTATCCAGGTGCCATACTTCGTCACCAACCACTGAAGCTGGAGTATCTTCGCTGCTCCCAGGATCTTGCGCCTTAACATTGAGGGAAAATTTTCCTTCCAAGTCTGGTCATTCATTTCAGAGTTCATTAGCTCCACAGGCTTCCACTCCATTATCTTCCTCGACGAGCAGACGAGTCACCTGTCATGTAACAGACCCTTCAAAACTAGAAGAGTTTCCTTTCCTTGAGTCCAAGGATGTATTATCCAACAATAGTAAGGAATTACAAAGCCAGTGTTGCATTGGGGAGGTAACAGACTCGACCAGTGACTCCATTGTAAGTGGCCACTTGCATGAATATTCAGAATATTCCGGGCAAAATACCTTGCCTTGCATTTCATGTGTGGGTACTAAATTTGAACCCCCATCACCACCCACAGAATCAACTTCACCATCCACTGTGTCATCTTCATCACCATCAGCAATACCAACTTCAAATTTGTCAAGTTCATTCAGGGAGTTAACTTTATCACCTGTGTCAACGTCATCATTTTCAACGCCGTTAGCGACGTCAACTTTGCAATCATCACCGGTGACAACTTCGGCTACAGCGGGGGTCTTATCCTCTTCCCCACAATTGCATTCTAGTTTGTGTATGCAAACCAGTTGTCATTGTAAACCCTTTGCAGGCTCTTCACCCATACACTTTGATGATATTACACCGTCCACCAGTACACCTGATGCCCCCCAGACACTTCCTTTCAAAAGCGGTACACATCACAAACCCATTTCTAAATTAAGAGAAATGCCCGAGGAGCTTTTTACAAAGATTGCGCTGGAGAGTCGCAAATACCCCTTCTCTGCATGCCCAAAAGAAATGGCGCGCACTCGGATCCCTGGCGAGTCCAGGAGTGCCAAGAATGGTATCCCGAGGAACGAAGATGATGAGAATTTATTGGCAAATAATTTTTCCTTGGGAAATTTGACTGGCTTGCCAGAAAGTCAGATGACGAACTCCTCCTTTATAGTTGCTCTGTACATTTTAGCCCTTGTGTGTAGCGTCGTCTGCATCTACATCCCTCTAAGTGAGTTGTATATTTTTCTCACTCTAGTTTTATGTCTTTTCTGTATGCTGTCTGCAAACTTAATCTCTTGACTAAGCTTAATTTATTCTCTTGATGAAGCTTACCTGTTTTTGGGCTGGCAAGTGTACTGTATAGATGGATTTAATTAATATCTTTTCTCTTTAAATGTTTTCTCCTGACGAAGCTAGAGCTGTTTTTGGGCTGGTGACTGTTTTGTAGATGAAATTTGGGTCTGGGGTAGTTATGGCTTTCGGCTCATTACGTACCAGGATTGCCATCTAGGGAAGTTGTTTTAGTAATGTAATTGGCAATAGGCCTACACAATGCAGCCACTTTTAATACCTTGCAACTGTATTCACCTAGTTGTATCCATCTATTTGTGCTTGCGGGAGTTGAGCTCTGCTCTTTCGGCCTGCCTCTCAACTGTCAATCAATCAACTGTTACCACTATTTTTTATTTTTATTTTTAACCCCTCCCCCCTTAGGAAGCAGTTCGTAACAGTTGTCAAACTCCCAGGTACCTATTTACTGCTAGGTAACAGGGACATCAGGGTGAAAGAAACTGCTCTTTTGTCTGTGCCGGCGCCGGAAATCAACCCCGAGCCACAGGATTAAGAGTCCCGTGCACTGTCCACTCAGCTACTAGACCCCATAACCGACTGTGTTAATATAGTGGTGTGATGATTATCCAAGAATTAGGGTTAACATAAAGGAAAACTGTTGTAGATAATAGTTTTGACATTGGAAATTAATTTGGGATAAGTGTTGTCCAAATTGTCAGAAGGACCTGGATATTCAGGAGCAACTACAAATTTTGAGGGAGAAAAATACACTAATAGTTAAAATGTCGATCTTTTTGTTTTTTGATTAGCAGCAACATGTGGTTATAAATTTTTTTTGGTATCAATAAAATGATTTTTGAACAAGTTTTTGAACAAACGGGTTGATAATTCAGGGTTCAGTCCCAGTTACTTTTGAGAATTGTGCAAGTGCGAGGAACTGACATTGCAAGTTACCGTGGGTAATCAACACTCCACTATTGACGGCAGTGATTGTGTGTGAGACGTTGAGAGGCAGAGTACAGATTGCTGGAGTCTAATGACAATAACATCACAAGTCAGCCTAGACACACATGAAATGGGGCGTCACCTATACGCACATTGGTGATGGGACGAGTGTGGTGGTGGTGTTGGGAATTCCTGTTCCTACTTAGCTCTGTACCCTTGAGTAAAGCCTCCGTCGTAGTTGTACACATTTTGTAGCATGTAACTGTTGACTAACGTTTGTGTATTTTCCAGAGTTAAATTTGATGTCCTGATGCTTATTTTGATTTATTTCAACTTTGTTCTATGGTAATGTTTTAATGTGGTATATATTTTGTTAATGATTATTGCTACAAATTTACTGTCAATGTTTTTCAGTGTTGAGTAAGTATTGAAAGCTGCTCTCTTGACTTGTTAATGTTTGTGATAGCTTCCTCATATTGGATCTGGGTAATGGCATCATTCAGCACAGTCTTCCTTCTTACCTGTTTGGCTTTCATGGTGATTGGGTATGTTTATGATTGGGTGATTGGGGGTATGTTTATGATTGGGTGATTGGGAGTGAGAGTTGAGCACTGTAGTGTATACGTCTGTTGTTACCTGGTCCTGGTCGGCATGTTGTGGACTGTTGGTCTTGTACTGGCACCAAGAGAGGCATCGTACTGATCTCATAATGGCACCAAGGAAGACCTCGTACTTGATCTGGTAATGGCACCGGGGATAACCACCATCTCCTACTCCGTTCCTCATAGGTAAAATTTGATGTTAGATCATTAGGTGAACCCTTTCCTACAATGGCAGCAAGGTAGCACATGCAGAGGTTCTTAAGAAAGTGCTTCTTGAGTGCCGAGAGATACCAAATTGCAATGTTTGAAGTACAGTATTTGCTTACTAGATTCAGCTCTCTGATCTGCTTGTTTACCAGCAAGCTAGGTATCATTTGAATGACACAGCAAGACTGCTAGTACTGGTGTGTGTGAGTAGGACGGAGAGCGGCGTGCGTCACGAGGCTAGGATGTGTACTACACTTGGTGTTTGTGGGTGGTAATACATGTGTGGAAGTAAGGGAAACGTGAAAATGGGAAGGCATAAAACACTACAAAAGATGGAAGCAATTGAATACCTTGGGACGAAATGGTAGCAGAATATTTAATTATCTCTGAGGGAATACATGTGGCAGTTTACGTGATGGATAAGAATGTTTTGTAGATTGAATGTGAAGGAGGATTGGGGGCAGATGATGTAGGAAGGGAAAAGGAGAAATTGGGGAAGCATGGAAGGAAGAGTGAGATGTGAGAAAGGAATAGAATAAGAAATGGGAAGGGTGATAAATCAGAGCAACCCATCCTCTCAAATAATGCATTACATTTTGACCCATAAATCCCCAGCGGCCAAAACATGATGCTGCTAAAAATCGTAGCAGCGGACAAAATTGATGCGCTGTCCTGTCTTGCTATTCGTGGGTTCTCAGTTAGGTTATGTTCAGGCTATTTTGTGCATCATTTTAGTGAGGCGTGAGCTTGAGAGGACGGCCGCTGATCACAGAGGGGTGGTGAATGATGGTGGCTGAGACATTGGGAGCTGAGATATAGAAGTAATAGCTTGTTAGGAATGTAGGTGAAGATCCTTTGGTCCTTAAGAGTTTGTCTCTATCACAGGCTGGGGGAGAAGCTCATTTGAGTACAATGGCAAGTTAATAGTTACAAATTGTATATTTAGCCATTAATTATGCACAGCCATTGCAATTTCGTAAGTTCAGTGGCTTGTAAGAATCGGTAGAGAGATGGCTCACTCTTGATGCAAATTTTACCAAAGTAGTGATGCTGCTGCATTTATTAGACCTGTGTAATAGTGAATTATTTTTGATAGCAACATATGTATGTTGCAGAGAACAAATCACTATGCGACTGAAACAAATAACTCGGCCACACACATGAAATGAATTTGAAGGTGACATTTTAACTCATCCTGAGCTTAATGAGGGTCCAGGAAGGATAGAAATGTAGTCACTTTCACTTGACTTCATGTATGGATGGTATTAGGCAGGATAGAAACGTAGTCACTTTCCCTTGACTTCATGTATGGATGGTATTAGGCAGGATAGAAACGTAGTCACTTTCCCTTGACTTCATGTATGGATGGTATTAGGCAGGATAGAAACGTAGTCACTTTCCCTTGACTTCATGTATGGATGGTATTAGGCAGGATAGAAACGTAGTCACTTTCCCTTGACTTCATGTATGGATGGTATTAGGCACGATAGAAACGTAGTCACTTTCCCTTGACTTCATGTATGGATGGCATTATTGTACAGTATTTGTATACTTTACCAGATTTAGATGCGCGCTTATCACTAACTCTAGGACGAGTATAAATAATGTTGTTTTTTGTTATGTACGTGAGGCTTGTTAAATATTAAGTTTGTGACGAGTGCTCAGGTCTGGGTTTCCCCACTCCGGCTGTGGTGTCAACAACGACATTTGGCTGACATCAGTTACTCTGTAGTCTTTTATCCTTATGAAGTTTGTGGTGTTATATAGGCTGAGAGCATGTAGATAGTTTAGGGTGGCAGGTGGGTGAGATGGACCTGAAGATAGTGTCATAGAGAAGCATCGAGTCATCAAACCCCAATCACGGCCCTCGTGGATTTGTTCAGAACCATCGAGTATTTACATTGGTCTGGTGCATAAAGAAGCCAGGTTGTCTCTGGACAAAACTCGAACTTGTATACTCGCAATGAGTAATAACCCGGCCCGTTCTTTCTATTTGCCACTCCATACAAAAAATTACGACTTTTCAAACCTAAAATGTGCAAAATCCAAGCAGCCCATTTAAGCTATTAAGAAAAGAAAATAACAAATGTCTACTGTATATTACTAGGCTTTGTTACAATGGTGTCATCCACATTGTTAATGGTTTGGTAAATTCCGTAAAAAAAAAAATGACGCATTAGGTGAGGTGACGATTTTTTTGCCTGTGCCTCCTTGCTGTGTTGTGGGAAAGGGCGCGTGACGGTAGTGATCTGTTGGTTGTACATACGTGTGAAATAATCAGGATTTTGTGTATTTTAGTGATAATTTTCCTAGTAACTTTATATCGGCTTACATAAATTGTCATTAATTTATTTTAGCACTGATATAATAGAGCAGTGTTTCTCAACCTTTGTTCCCTTGAAATAATTCCAGGTCGTATTTTAGATAAACACGTTGATTTTATTTTCAAGTGAAGGAGAGGGCTTGTCTTTGCTCTTGATACTGGTTAAATGGGAAAATTCAACAAAAATTATTTAAAAATACTTTTGCATCTGATAAGAATTAGCCTATTTATGACTATCTCTTGCAGAAGCCCTACAGTTACCTTGAGGTTCCATGAACCCGGTTGAGAAATGCTGTAACTGAGGATTGTCATTCAGTTGTCAGGTGTTCAGTTGTCTGTGTCGTTTCAATTTGTGTATTTGTTACGTGGAGATTTGTTTAGCAATGTATCCGGGAGATTGTGCTGAATGATGTAAAAGTTGTAAATGCAGCCAAATAGTTATTTTAATGGTAAAATACTCCGTCATATCTCTATTTATGAGTGAGTATTTATACTAAAAACTTCAATTGCAAAATAAATAAATGTGCGTACATGCTGTAGTTATTCGAGAGTTCAATAATTATAGTGTTTTAGAAAGCACTCGCCCCAGAACGATGGATGTAACGGTGTCTGGTTTTGGTAATTATGCGTCTTTGACTGCAATTTTGTGTGTGACAGGGGGAGATGGAGGTGTGGAGAAGGCAGGCTGAAAGGAATGAGTCTTGACAGTAGTAAAATGTGTGGTTGGCAGGTAGTCTTTTGAGAGGAAGGCAGAGGAGGAAGAGAATATTATATGGTGTGAAATGTACATGGGAGAATGTAGGTTAACCTTGAGGAAGTGGCACACGTGCAGTCCTGCCTCACGACCCGTTGTTTACCCCGGACAGTACAAGACGGAGAAGGACGGCGTGCTGGAGACTCGGGTGGAACAGAAGATCACCATCCAGAGCGACGGGGACCCCATTGACCATGACCGCGCCCTGGCCGATGCCATCCAGGAAGCCACCAGCATGAACCCGGACATGACGGTGGAGAAGATTGAGATCCAGCAACAGTCTACGGAATGAGGTGTTGCGGGAAGGATTTAATTAAAGGCAAGTGGACGACAGTGAGAAGAGAATGACGTAGAAATGTTCTAGTGTAGAGTCTAGTCGCTGCAAATTTGTTACAAATTTTTGAGTCTCGTTATTTTTTAAGATAATTTGATCTAACTTTGACTTGAGAGTATAATTTATCTTCTTATTTGATGGAATAATAATCATTCCTAAGATATGTTGAGATATTGCATATAGTGAGACAGTATAAAGGGATCAAGGCTACAACCCCCCCCCCCCCCCCCAAAGGATTCTCAGGCACGTGCACTACCAAGTCGACCAGATGGTAAAAGGTATCTCGTGGTTCAGTCGGTAGTGCGTGTGCCTGGGAAGTCCGGGGATGCCAGTTGTATGGTCTCGATATTTTCTTGCCGATAAATCATAATTTTGTTTATTGCAATGTGTATCATTGGGATTTTAGCTATCGTTGGACTAATGAGAATATTATACTCTCTCTTCACCGCTAATCTGTTAATGAAGTTTGGCGAGAGAGGAATAGGTTCCTGTAAGGGTTGAAACACTTCCTGAACCCAGTTATACAATGACTGAATTACCGTTTAGATTTGATAAGCAAAAGTAAAAATAGATAATGTTTAAAATGTGCATTCACTTGGGAAAGGAGAGATAGTGAGAACAACCTGGTGCGGCGAGGTGTGGGGGGGGGGGGGATAACAAAGGGGAACATGAAGACCCAAACTAATTTTTGTATTTAATTTTTGTTAATAGATCTCCTTACTGGTGCAGTTGGTGTTGCTGATGGAGTCAGTGTGACGTGTGGAAGAGTCACGAAACGTCGTCACGGGAAGAATGCAAACACTTGGACTTCACGACACATTGTGTGTCAACCCAGTGTGCTAGTTAACCCCATTTAGCTATTATCAATGATAGTAGTCAGGTCTTGAGTTCATTCACTCCTGTATTATGCAACAAAACACACACTCTTAAACTTTCAAATGTATTATATGGTGGGCTCTGGGTTTGTCTTCTGAAGTATCTGGTGTGGTTCGTATGGTTCTGCAGTGGGCTCTGGGTTTGTCTACTGAAGTGTCTAGTGTGGTTCTGCAGTGGGCTCTGGGTTTGTCTACTGAAGTGTCTAGTGTGGTTCTGCAGTGGGCTCTGGGTTTCTCTTCTGACATGTAGTTCAATGGTGGGCTCTGGTGGGACTTTCACAGGCACTGTTTCTGTTATGGTTATTCTGAGTTGTGATGTGCTTTCAGACTTACCGAGACGTAAGCTCTGGTTTAGCAGACAAGTTATTAGTTTCTAGCAAACTCTTCGTTGACGTTGGGCATCTCACGGGTTCGCATTCTTCGTGCACTTCCTGAAACGCTCCGGAAAGTCCACAAGTATAGGAACCCTGTCGATGCCAGTCTAAAACATCCAGGTTAATCGTTGGTGAAATTATCTTTTGTCTGAGAGTAAAATAGAACCTGGTATACTTGTTTTAGACAGTTATTTGTTTGTTTACAAGCACTAGTCTATTAGCATATTTTGCTTGGGATACCGAATAATTTATCGTGTCTCAAGTTTGAAACACAATTAGGAACGAGTCGAGGGTTTAAATTGTCTAGGGTTGAGGCCGCCAACATGACTACTTTTAAGTTACACAACTTTATGTCCTCATTAATTATGCAGCTAAAAAAAAATCACTGTGATGCTTTGAAATTAATATATATACAGTACCTGTATATTGAAAGACAGCTTTTAGAAAAATTGTCATAAATAGATTATATGAATGTTGAAAATCACGATTAACAGTAGCTACTTGCTCCGGATCTTTAAAAATTAGAAGCTTCGTGCTTCGATTATCGCAGCTCCAGGGACGTGGCAAAAATATCTCGTATGAGAACAAAATGTAAACAAATATGGCCACGGGATCCTGCACGGAGGATCTGCCTTGGCTTCAAGACATTGCAGAGAGCGAGTCTCAATAATTTTGCTGAAAAATAGTAATCGGAACTTCACATGTGCAAATAAAGGAAAGTGACAATGTTTGGGCCCATCTTTGACCCTTAAATGGTCACTTTGTTTTTACGTTTGGGTTAGGTTACTAGTTTTCAAAACCTTGTGTGAATGTTATTACTAATTTTGATGGTGTAAATCAAAGTAGAATTCTTTTCAGTTTTAAGGAAATATTAATTTGAATTTTGTTGCATTGGTGTAAAGCAGCTCTTTAACTAAATAACTTCTGACCTTGCTTCATTCTTGAATGGGGTGGAGAAGGCTCATGTACGTTTTAACAAAGTGAAGACTTACAGCCTCGTGTGGATGTCGTACTTGATGGTGACGGGTTCTAATCCAATCTTGTAATGCTCTGGGTCACCCCTTGTATCATGCAGAGAATCATTGATATTCATCGTGTTTCTCATGCCACCACCACCACCGCCACCACCGCCCTCCTCTCCTGTAAAAGTGGCTAGTTCGGTGAGTCATCGTTGTTTTTATTTGGTGTCTATTATTTTGTATATCTGTTTTGCTTAGTCCTCTATTTTTATACTAAAAGGAATTAATTTTGTTCAGTGGATTCAATATGTAAATGCATCATAATGGAATATCTTTCAGTGTTACATTTAGTGATTAATCAGTGTTCCAGGGAGTAACTTTTAACATTGTGGGAACTACGCGATATTGGAGTAAATACACGTGATACACACACACGCACACACTTGTAATTACACACGTGTGTAATTACACTTAGGTAATTACACACACACACACACAGACCAACCCGTTCTCACACTTTCGTATAGTCAATATTGACTTATTAAATACGTCATATGTAACATACTAATTTATTGTGAATATTTTAGTTTACCTTGAAAAGCTTCATAGAAAACACCGACCTTACCTAACCTTCTTAATATGTTAAGATAAGCATCTTATTGCTTTGTAATTACAATTATTACTTAAGCTATTATAGGTATAGGTTAAGTAATAATTGTAATTACGAAGCAATAAGATGCTTATCTTAACATACTAAGAAGGTTAGGTAAGGTCGGTGTTTTCTATGAAGCTTTTCAAGGTAAACTAGTATGTTTAGTATGTCTCACATGCACGTATTTAATAAGGCAATATTGACTGTAAGAAAGTGCGAGAACGGGTTGCACAGACAGTTTTACAGAGTTGCATTTCTTTTATGTGGTAACTTGCATTTATTGTTTGCAAGTGTGGTGACCCAAACTCTGATGTTTGATCTGACACTTTAAAGGCACTCATTTTTATCCTTTGAACTTTATATCTTACTAAACCTATTACATTTGTAAACGAAGGAAAATGACAAAAAAAAGTGCTTACAAAATCTCCCAAACAATATATAGTCACTGCAAGCAGCTGTTATCAGTGCATTGGTCGGCATTAACCCAGGAGCGGCGGCATAGACCTCGTGCTGATTTCCCCTTTCTATATTTTTTGTCATGTTGCAGCTAACGATAACTATTGGAAGAGAATGCATTGGGGGGTTAGTTTCAGCATGCCTACCACGAAGCTGCAGTTCTCCAAGCCGAAGTCGGTGTTAAACCACATGCTTTCCTAAGTTGTCGTAAGGTTTTGTCATGTGAGCACGTTATGGATGCATTGTACAGGGTTCATACTGGACCATCTTTAGTGAATTAATATATATGGTATCATCTAATGACTGATAAGTTAGCATTGTGAAAGTGCCTCAGCTGAATGTTGTCGGGTAGAACTTGTGGTGTAAGATCCCTGTGTTGTGGGACTTGGCTTCTGACCCTAATTCAATGTGTGTCTGCACGTGCTCTTGCAGATTGGGTATAAACAATTTTATTGTGGGACTATTAAATACTCTTAACGGTAGTGCATAAGCAGAATTCTAAACCAAAAAAAAATATTTTAAAATTGATAATTGAGGATAAATATGTGATGCCTGCACATTCATCATGTGCGAGAAAGGTCGGTGGGAGGATCCTCGGGCCTTAGTAAACGTAACCGAAGGGAACGCGTCACCGGGAAGGGGCGTGAAACACTGTCTTTCGTCGCTTGCGTCTGGGGTCACAAGTGCCTGCTTTCATTACTAGATCAGACCTGCTCTCCACCTGTTTCTCCGTAGCATAGCCAAAACTGAACACAGCTGGAAGATGTTGGCATGAACCCATGCAGAAGGGGAGCAGGTGTGTAGTAGTAAGTTTGGGATTATCTTGAATGCCCAATGGACCATACGTATGTCTTGCTGTCTTGTACTGGCCAATAGCTCGCTGTCATTTATCTTTCCAAGTTTAATTCTCGTTTAATGGCTATGTAAGTTAAGACTAATCTGTTGAGAAGTTGGTTGGTTGTCATGATTGATAAAGTCTTGTATTATGCAACACTTAGTACTTGAACCGTTGTCGACTGTGTTTAGTCAGAATCTAAGTGAAGACCTCTAGTGAATCATTAACATGAGTAGCGAATGCATTTTAGGCACATAAAGCCTATATTAGGCTCAATTTAAGTGCCATTCTAAAATTCTGACTTCACACGAATGTACAATCAAGCTTTTATTCTTCACAAGCTTTAAAGGGGGCAAAATGTATAACGCATCTCATTAGGCTTGATATTCTCCAGCTGACAATGCATTTGCTATCACCACAGTGGGGACGGAGAGTCCACACTCTAATACAAAGCTTCCAAGCTCCATGGATCACTGGAGAGTTGTAACAGTGCAGCTAACCTATGTAACCTTGTGTCTTGATGACTGGCAGTTAACCCAGGGCAAGGACTTATCTAAGCCAAGCATACCTGTGTATATCAAATAATTCAAAATTTATAAATATGAAGGTAAATGAAATATATATATATATATATATAAATATATATATGTACATACATTTGGTAGTTAATTTTTATTAAGTTCTAATGTTACCATTTGGACCTTAGGGAGCAGCTCTTAGGTCTTCCAAAATATGACTCGTGGTAGTGGTGACTGTGCCTTTCCGGACTCTCTCTCAACTCTATATTTTTGTTTTAGCTGCTTGAGGAATATATAGTACACTAGGTTTTGTCACACTTTCTGTAGCAACCCTTATGTGCCCTCGAGGTGGGTGTGCGAACCACCCGATGGGTAATTAATGGTCTCGTGGCACCTTGTACAGTCTTGTCGTGTGTCTCGGTGGAGCCAGGAAGGCACTATGGTCACCCACTACAGTTCAATGGTTATTTTGCATTACTTGTAGGCTAGGTAGGGAAATGAGATGGCAATGGAGTGGATGGGCCATGATGTGGCTTACTTCTCACACATCACGTGCACTGTACTCCAGTGTGTAATTAGTGGTAGATTAATGCAGAAATGCATCTCTTTATTATTTCATCTTGTGAGGGAATGTGCACTGTAAGCAAGTTTATTACAGGTGTACTCACCCATGAATCTCCAAATATTTATCTTGAGCACCGATTTCAGGGCAGTATCTTGACTTGACCGGAGGGAGGCACCCTTGGTCAGTCTGGGCATGACTGGAGGATGGTTCCCCCAGGGCATGACTGGAGGATGGTTTCCCCAGGGCAGTATCTTGACTTGACCGGAGGGAGGCACCCTTGGTCAGTCTGGGCATGACTGGAGGACAATTCCCCCCAGGGCATGACTGGAGGATGGTTTCCCCAGGGCAGTATCTTGACTTGACCAGAGGGTGGCACCCCAAAACCTCCTTGTGCTAGAACAATTTTTTGTTATATACAGTATATATATATTGTGAACATATAATTTCCCGTAGATACAGTATTAGATACTGTCATAGGTACCAAAGTCAAATTTTATTCATAGTTTTATTGCAATTTGAGATGGATTTTTTCTACAGTATATATTTTATATCAATCCATTTATTATTTTTCATTTTGTGGGAGCCATGATACTGTACTTGTGGAGCCAGTCACAGACTAGATACGGTCCTGCGTCACCGTGTTTCACTCGGCTGTCACTCTGTTTCCACGCACCTTCACTCTGCTGTATGAAATGTAAACCCCCCTCAACCCCCTCCCCCCCTCCCCCCCCACACATACACTACACGAGTGCAGCTTTTAAGAACATGTACTGTTGTAATCTTTTTTATTTTATTTTCCTTTTTAAGAAAAATAAATGTTAGATAAGTTTACATTTATTTTTGTTTACCTTTTTGTTAGTTATGGAGCATGAGATGTATATTGTGTCAGTTTGAGTACATGACGAGTTTTAATTGTGTAAAGTTGAAAGCTATATTATTAATTCATTTAATTATTATTTTTTTAATTGAATCGGTGTTGTTGATGTAACATCGAACACTGAAGCATAATTTGAAGGAGACGTGTGTGTGTTAACCCGGTGGGTGCAATACTCAAAGAGTGGCATTGGCTTGATGTTAAATACACGTTAACATGGTTGAATCAACGTCGACGTTGACTTGGCCGAGAATGGGCATTGCTCCTGGATGTTATGTCCCCTGGGAATGGGCTGTTACAAGTGGAATTCTTTTATAATAGACCAGGATGCTGAATGGTCCAGGGGAGTTGGAACACTATTGACAAGTTTGCAAGAACAAAAACATTTCTGTAGCATTTGCTAGATGAATAAACCATAGAATAATTTGGCATCTGCAGTCTAACCTTTACAGTTTGAATGTACACTGATATTTGCCAGGGGAATGGTGTTTAGTGTTGGTAGCTGTCTTGTAATTCTCATTATTTGGATGTCTCTGGGCAAGACAGAACATTTCCTATCACAAAGTTGTTAAATATGTCCCTGGGAGGTAGAAAAGTGTTGTGGGATGCATCCTGCGGGTGGTCAGTAGTTGGCCTACAGTACAAGGGATGATGACTGATTGATGAAGATTAAGCCACCCAAAAGGTGGCACGGGCATGAATAGCCCATAAGTGGTGGCCCTTTTGAGCCATTACCAGTATCAATAGATGATACTGGAGATCTGTGGAGGTGCGACTGCACCCTGCATGACGGGAGATGTCTCCCGTGCAGTACATAGACCTTGATGGAGCCAAGTACAGGTTTCCTGTCCCTAATGAGGGAAAGTATTTCTTATCGTTGTTATCGTACAGATTCACCACCAAATCACTGGTATTATCATTAGATTTTTCATGATATAAATAGGAGCTGCCTTGTGTGTGGACTAATAGCCCTTCTGCAGTTACCGTGTTCTTGATCTACTTAAGGGAATGGATTGGGAAAGCCTACATAATTTGTGCTATTATCTACTCTATTCATGGTTAGGTTGAGTTTCATTACATTAATATGATGTATCATTGACTATTTTGTGAAATGTGGCATTAGAAAACTATTTCAGTGTGCCCTTGAATTCTCTCTACATAATTCCAAATTCCCAAAGACGACGTTTTCAGCATATACTCGCTATATTTTAAACCAATGATTTCTATCACATTAAAATGATAACTTGATGATAATCTGTTTACAACAACGGTTCATTTACCAGTTTACATGTAGACTATTACTGGAACCGTAATATGCTTTCAGACCATCACAAATATCTTTACCCAGTGGTTTGAGGGGGGGGGGGGCATGGTAATGGATGTGCTTTGAGGACGTTGAGATTTCTCTCTCCTTGATTATCTAAATGCTACCATCAAAATCTGCTTTAGTAAAGTCTTGATGTGTACACAAACGCTTTAGTAAAGTCTTGATGTGTACACAAACGCTTTAGTAAAGTCT